TTTCAGCAAAGATGTGCGTTTTGTTTTTATTCCTCTTGTTTAATGGCAGCTGGTAATCAACCCTCAGATGCATTACTGCCACCTTCTGGTTAGCAGAGTAACTGCTTCATCCAGCTTTAGACGCTCGTATGACGCTCTCATACCTTTTATGTTTGGTAATAGTTTGTTTTCAAAGTTTTAACTTTTGTACTTGTATTCTCATCAATCATCTGAATGTATATTTGAGTTGACGACGGCAACAAATCTAAATCAGAAATGATTTTTTACATTTATTGACTAACTGGCAGCATAGTGGTCAGGGCATAGAGCTTAGAATCCTGAGGTTCTGGGTTTGAGTCCCACTCTCACAGACTGCCACTCTGGGTCCCTGAGCAAGACCCTTAACCCCACCCTGCTCCCCAGGCGCCGCACCATGGCCGCCCACTGCTCCCCAAGGGGAGGGGCTAGATGCAGAGAGGGAATTTCTCCAATGTGAGATCAATAAAGTTTAATTATTATTATTTAAAAATTCTGAAAGCATTTTATGGGTCATTGTCCCAGTCTAGACTACTGGTTCCAGTTTGGATTCCATGCTGTCTGGTTCTGGTGATTCTGGAACATGATTGTTTTTATGCTTTATTCAAAAAGAAAATGGATGATTAGATCCTGAAGTCCAGAAACATCTGCAGTGATGGAACCTCACAACCTTCAGACGGTTCATGAACTCAAAGAATGTTTTTTATTGGTTGTAGAGCGTCATCATTTCAGCGTCCCGCCCCCGCTTGTTGCTGCTCCATTTACTGATCCGCTGCGTTGCCTTTATGTCGGGTTCATTGGTCTCCGTTAACGACCGACTGTCACTCATCTCCTTTATACTTCCTGGTTCAACTGATCTTTATTCTTTTTATATTTATCACCACAATCTGTGTGTTTTACTGCTAATTGGAACATCTGGCCATGGTTTACCCACATTGTGAGGACTCTGCTCTTCCTTTGGTGAAATATTATGTTGGATGAGTTTAGGGTGATGAAGATGAGGATGAGGATGAGGTGTGTACAGTGTGTAAGAACCTCTGGTGTCAGCAGCTGTCATGGTGAATAAAGCTGAGGTCAGAGGTCAGAGGTTATAATCCGCTCTGCTCTGAGCCTTAGGTGTCTGTTTGTGTTTGAAACACAGATGAAGGTGATTTCCTGTCCGACTCTGAGGACCAGGCGTTTGGTTTGCATCTTTCTATGTCAGCCTGTTTCATCTTGTTCTTCTGACCAGAGATGCTGACACATCCCCCCCCCCCATCTATCTCTGGTCAGCTCACTGTCAAATAAAGGCCAACGGTGCCAAAAACCAACAAAGCTGCATCATGTGGATCAGTGTGAAGGTCATGGAGGCCTGAAACAGAAGCACAGAAACTCAATGAAAGACAGAAACTGATCTTCCTTTGCTTTGACCTTAAAGTAGCCTTTAGTGTGTTTTTACTGTTAAACATCAAATGTTAACAGCCTCTTATGTTTCTTTACAGTTAAAACAGAAAATAAAGACCCAACAGATTCCCACCTTCAGATGTTCCAAAATGATTTTTACCATTTGGGGGGGGATCCCACTCTATGACCACTTTTAGATGGAAAAAATAGCTTAAAACAGGATAAAGATAATTAGGATTAACGTACCAGCTAATAAAAAATAGAGAATAAAAACACTAAACGATAATTAAAAAACAGTTGAAAAATGTAGTTGGGTTTTTTTTCATCAAAATAAGTCATTTCATAAAAATAAGTCTTAAAGTATTATGTGCTAACCCAGCAAAGACAAACCAGTTCAGATGTGGGAGTAGATGGCATTAAATGAGCTAGGAGTTAGTTCAAGCTAATTCCAAAAAAGTTCAAATCAATCGACCGACTTTGTCTCCAAGTTTGAAGACGTTTCTCTTCCATCCAGGAAGCTTCTCCATCCAAAAAAACAAAGATCTATTCTTGACCAGCTCAGGCCAGATTTAACCAAACCAAGCAAATAATGAAGAATTATTAGGTGGTGAATTTATCCCGTTTATTCTTTTGTCTGAATGACTCCGTCATGGAAAACTCAGACCAGAACTAAAACCCACCTTTTATTTTCCCGGTTCAGATTGACGGCTGATTTTGTCACCATAGTTGGCTGTCCATGTTGCCGCGGTAACCACCTCATTTACTGTCTGTGTAGCAGTGCTAACTCCAACTTGGCTAGCTTCTGGTAACCCTGCTCCATCTTTTTGTGTAGCCATGGTAACCGCAGTCTGTTCCTTTGATCTGAAACATAGATATTTGCACTCAGAAGTTTGGATACTGGATACTTATCATCTAGAGACAGATTGATGGGAAAGCAAAGCCACTTAGGTGTTGTTCTGGTGTTGTTCTGGTGTTTGCTTATTTTGAGGTGGTTGTTGCTGTGAGAAGCAGCTGAATCATCGCGTTGAAACGGTTCTGCTGAGGCAACTTTCTGACCTTTAGGTCGACGTTCAGTCGATGCTGCTGTAGCTTTAAGGTAAAGTGAGAGTTCCTCCTTACGCTACTTGTTCTGTCCTGCGGCGGTTAACTGACCATCTGCTCTGGGGATTATCAGATTACCTTCATCCCGACCAGCTGCTCTGCCACCAGTTTTGGTCCTCAGGTGGGTCTCCAGACTACAGGTGGAAGGAGGTCCTGAAGGTGGTCGGTGGTTCTGGGTGAATGGCTGGAGGGCAGCATGCTGAGCTGGGTGGGAACACTGGTCAATAAGAGCTGGCTGGAGCAGCGGCGGATGGGACATGGTGCTGACAGGAAGTCTGGCTGTGGAGCGGTAAGGTTCTACCAGTTGGTCCTTTGGAGGAATTAGAGATGATCTGATGTTGCTTAATAATAGAAACTGAACTTTATTGATCTCCTATTGGAGAAATTCCCTCTCTGCATTTAACCCTTCCAGTGGGGAGCAGCGGGCTGCCATCATGGGGCGCGATCGGGGGTCAAGGGTCTTTGCTCAGAGAGGCAGACTGTGGGAGTGGGTTTCAAACTCACAACCTCAGGATTTAAAGCCCCATGCCCTACCGCTACGCTGCCGCTCTGCACTGAGGGTCAATATCAGGTGAAATGGGATCTAATTGGATGGTTCTGATGCGGGAGAAGGAACTTTCTCCCGGGGGGGGGGGGGGCTTCTTTCTGCTCCCCACAAAGGAAACTAAGCTGAGGATCCAATCTGATAGAACTAGAGCTAAGTAGATCTCTTTTCTCTGCCTGGGGGGGCCAGGCGAGGCGGACAGATGGCGTCTGTTTAAAAGTTCTCCGTCTGTCTGACCTTCAGCTGCTAAATGAGATGAAAACACCTTCAGGTTCACGTCTGTCTTCACCAGGTGAGCCCATCAGAGGCCTGAGGTTCAGTCTGCTGGGAACCTCCGACCTGAAGCAGCCGATTAGCTCTGCAGCGCTAACCAGCTCAGAGACGCATCTCCATCACGGACTGGAGTCTGACCCCACTGGATCGGATCCAGTTCTGTTCATACATTTAGAGCGACAGAAGTATGCGTGAACCAGTGGGGGGGGTTGTGGGTTTCAGGTATGACCCCCCCCCCTTGTGTTTTGGGGTTTTTAATCTATTTTTCTTTCTTTTTAACCTTTTTTTATCTAAAAGTTGTAACATCAGAACTTTTGATCTTCAAAAGGAAATATTGCTGTACTTGTTCAACAGGAAGTGATGTCATCATTCCAACTTGGGTAAAGATTCTACCAGGTCTAAATCTTTTTGTAAGGCTCCTGTCACACCTTAGCGATTTCTCCAGCGTCTGCCTGACGTCCCAGAATCTCCTAAACTCTGCAGACGCTGAACTTTCTATGGATTTTATTTTATTCTGGGCGTAAACATAATTATTCATAAAGAGGCCAGAACTTCAGCCTAACTTCTGCATAACGCACAGCAGCGTAATGCCCAGGAAATGATGCACAGTGTCCTGAAGGGGGCAGCGATGCGCCCAGAGGCGCCCGACCTGCAGAAAAAGATGTCTTTGATCGGAGTATTAACCTGGCTGCTGTTTACTGTTTAAATAAATTCATAAAAATAAAAACGTTTCTGGTGGCAGCAGATTGAGCGTCATGTCTGCTAGGAAGTGTGTTGGTGGTGGGCGGGACATAGGGAGGATCCATCAATCACCTTCTGGCTCCCCCTACCATCAGATAACCGACCTGGAACTGATGGCCCACGGATGGCAGACGCTGGCAGACGGCGGGACATTGTTAGCATGCTCGCCGTACTCGCCACGTCCTTCAGCGTGTTCATAGCTTATAAAAACGTACTCATAACTTATCCATCGTATGGCAGCGTTTTGGCCATTTTGACTGATTGGTTTTCAGGTCCAGTTTCCAGAGATCCGCCTTTTGTTCTTGGTTTAGTTAGAAACTGAGACCATGTGACTTTTAGCCGCTCTTTTGTTGGAGGCGCCGTACATGAGCCGTCTGCACATTTCTCCACTGTTTCTGTGGTGGTGTCACAGCGCCACCAATGGGTCTGGCATGCATACCACAGCATCTTCAGCGTTTTAGAAACCAAGCCGTGTCTGAGAGGACAGGAGCTGCCAGGTGTGGAACGTGTTTGTGAAGATGTTTCCTTTAATCAGTGGTTTCATTCCCATTTTGGCTCATGGGATTTTCTTATAGCTCATCCAGTTTATCTAAACCAGCTGATGCTGTTTCTCTCCTGGCTTAGAGATGATTTGTGAAAACTTTCAGATTTCAGCTCCTTTCATACGTTTTAAACTTAGAAAATGGCCAGCTGGTTCAGGACTCGTTTAACCCCCAGGATTTAGATCACTTTTGGTATTTTAAACGATTATTCCAAACATTCCCACCAAATGCATTTAATGAATTTCCCAGAAACATTCCCTATTTTATCCACCAGGGGGAGCTGTCAGTCTGCAGTACAGACCGGACTGTTTCTGAACTTGAGGAAAAGTTATAAACCAGATGCAGTCATTTTGTTTTTCCTGCCAGTTTTCCTCTAACTTCCCGTTTTTTCCGGTCTGCAGCCGGTCCAGCGGTCCAGTGCTCTGTTCAACCCGGCGGTCATGTTCGGGACCAGAAAGACCTGGGACATCGGTCAAGCCCCGTGCCTGCAGGAGCTCTGGAAGAAGGACATCTCATTGGACGGTGAGTCAGAGGGAGGGGCCTGTAAATACCAGCATGGCTGCATTTTTTTCCTGACAGACAGGACAGGTGAGTCACACCTGAGCAGCCGAAGGGAGAAGGACTGTCAGAGGAACAGGTGAGCTGAAAATGTGGAGTTAGTTCGCTGTGAGCGTCAGCTGATCGCCCTCCAGTCTCTGGAGAGACTTTCAGGTGAACAAACACTGGAGCTATTGTCTGCGTCTGAGCTGCACATTCCAAGCGCTCGGGTTCAGCTGGCTGTGTGTGTAGGTGGGTGTGTTTATGGGATTTAAAAAAGTTTCTAAAGGGTTTCAGATCTGTGCCGACTGTCAGAGGGAAACGCTTCCTGCTGTTTGGCTCCACACTTCAAAACAAACAGAACATGGTTGATTGGAAGGAAAAACTGATCCACTAACTGCTGTTTAGACCGAAGCCCGGCTGCTTTTAGCTGGTTTATTAGTCAGTCTGTCTACGGCTCCGATCAGCTGATCACCGACTCACCATCAGGGTTTTTAAAGTCATCCAATGGTTCCTTCTATCTCAGACAGAAGGAAGCAGGTCTGTCTGGGGGGGGAAAGCAGTAAGTCTTCCCCCAAAACTCTGTAGAAATACATAGAATCCATGGTTCAGCCAGCTGTGGTGCAGTGCACAGCAAAAGGAGGGGCAGCTACGTGTTACCTCGCATGGTAATAGGAAAACGTAATATTGATCAAGACTAAAGCATGTAGTTATTTATTTATTTGACATCTTTATCACCTCTCTGCCGTCTTTTATTCAGCTATAAAGGAAAAGTTGGGTCATACTTAGAACTCTGGATCACATGACTTAGAGCGCCGCTCACATCCAGACTTTAAACTTCTGAAAGTTCTTTAAATGTGAAATGATTCCATCCTGTTCAATAAATGATCCGTGTTTTTAATTCAGAGTCATTTCCATGTGAATGTGCTTTACTGGAGGCATCCAGATCAGGAATCAGAAAGGTGGAATAACTCTTTTTTTCACTTTTACCCGATGTATTCCAGCATCCAGCTGCCATGCACGTGGGCATTGTCAGTTTCACTATAGCTCTGGTGAATTTCAATGGTGAAGTCCTCTGGAAATCTTCAATAATTGTTGTTGATTGCAGATGTGTCTAGTAGTTCCCATTGATTTAGCTTGGAAAGCGGGGAGAATGGCGCTAGGCTTACCGCACCGTGACGTCACTGCTGGAAGATGGCAGGAGGGAGGGGCTACTAGATTTGGGCAAAGATGGCCGCTCCCAGACTCAGTGATCGGAATGAAAACGATTTTTCATTAAATCACGGTAAACGTGTTTGTTTCAGGTATAAAATCCTCCATTGATTATTCGTCGCTGACCGAACTTTTCCTTTAAACGGTCGTCGCATATTTAGGCACAGAGAGCCTGAAAGCGTGAGTTTAACCAGCTAGGATTGGGTTTAAGTTCAGGTTTAATTCATCCAATGATGCTGTGATGCTCTATTTGGCTCAGGAAGAGCTTCAGAGGGAGGAAGGCTTAGAGCTGCATCTAGAACATCTATAGGCAATGAGATGTTCTCCTGCGTGCTTCCATCTCTCTGGGACCTTCATCCCTGTTGGACAGATGTCTGATGTCAACATCTGCTGCTCAACTTCACATTAGCCTGGAAATGGGAAGAGAAACAGATTGGTTCCAGTATGAGGTGGTCTGCTGATGATGATGATGTTCAGGAGGCTGAAGGTCCCAGGAGACGCTCAGTGACGGATGAAGCCAGGAAGGCGTGGCTTTATCACCGGTTAGCAGTGAGTTAGCATCACAGGATGTTAGCCCGTCTGAGGAGCGTCTCTCTGTTCATTTATGGAGTCAATTTTATTCCATTATTGTTGAAATCAACAAACGTATTTTGTATAGATAGAAAAAAAAACACACAACGTATTAATCAAAAAAGGTTTTGAGAGAAACTTTGCTGTTTTCTAAATTGTTTTTGCATAATTTTTTACAAAACAAAGAACGTAAACTACATTTTTTTCAAATTCTGTTTTTGTTCTCATTTTTTTTTTGCTTTTCTATTTTATAAATTTTATATTTTCCAATTTAATAAAAAAAAATTTAAAGTGTCACATTTTTCTTTTAAATTGATGTTAGTCTGTATTTTTTTTGTTTTACGTTTTACAGATCAGATTATTTTCGCTTCAAGCCAGACATGGAGTCAACAAGTCATCTCCATGTCATGTCTTTGTTCTATTCAGCCACTGCAGCAGGTGAGTCCAATCTTCACCATGAATTAACCTGTGCAGATTGGACTCACCTGGTTAATTGGCTGGGTAGATTAAATACATGACATGGAGATGACTTGTTGACTCCCATGTCTGCTTCAAGCTAACTACAAATGTTCGTTCTTGACCAATAAAAAGCTTTGGTTCACATCAGCTGACCAATAGAATCCCTCCTCACACCAGAGGAACACCCCCCAAAAATAAAGAGAATGTGATCTTGAAAAGAAAACGACTCCCAAAAATAAATCTGAAAAATGGAAAGTAAAGAAAAATATTTAAAAAATGTGGTATTTATATTTTATAAACATATAAATTAAAACTTGATCAACTCCATTAAAGTTGCCGTTGTGCTGCAGAGGAGATGAAATGCAGAGTTAAAGCGTCCCACCATTACTGGGATAACGGTACGATAGTTATCATGTTTAATCAAACATTTACTCGGAGCTTCATGCGTTCAGACGTTCCTCCGCGGTTTGGAAAGAATCGCAGTAAAACGTCCGTCGTTTCAAACATCCTTTCCACTTCCTCCTAAAACCTACTTGGAAAACCAAATTCTTTGTCTTAAATGAGAATCGCTGAAACTGACTGAAAGCATAAAAGCGCAACCATCTGGATAAAGTTAACGTTTATGAAATATAATAATCACGTTTATGCAATAATCACGTTTATGCAATAATCACGTTTTTGCAATAATCGCGTTTATGCAATAATCGCGTTTATGCAATAATCGCGTTTATGCAATAATCGCGTTTATGCAATAATCGCGTTTTTGCAATAATCGCGTTTATGCAATAATCACGTTTATGCAATAATCACGTTTATGCAATAATCACGTTTATGCAATAATCACGTTTATGCAATAATCGCGTTTATGCAATAATCGCGTTTATGCAATAATCACGTTTTTGCAATAATCGCGTTTATGCAATAATCGCGTTTATGCAATAATCACGTTTATGCACTATAATTAGCAAAAATTAATTTTCTCAGGTGACAGAAACACACTTCCGTAGAAAACAGCTGTTGTTGCTGTTTTCATCTCTGGATTGCATTTCTTTTGTATTTTTTAATTTTTCTTTCCATTTCTAAGACGTGTTCTTAGCAGCGATCGTGGAGCAATATTCCGCGTTAATCCTGCAGGGTCGGTTCAGTATGGCAGGGGGAGGGACGCGTCTGCAGAGCAGCGGGCTGAAGGTCGTTCCTCTGCCGTGTTTGAACAGTGAGGCCGTCTGCAGACGCTTCCCTCTGAATGTTTGTCTGGTTAAACTGGTGAAGGCTGCAGCCTGTCCCACACAGAGGGGATTGTTCTCCAGTGGGGGGGGGGTAAGCGGTCCCGTGCCCTCAGGGAAACATGTGATTAACAGGTTAATCCGTCACCGGCTGCTGGTCCTTCAGAGACCTGCACAGACTCTGATACAGAGACTCGCTTCATGTGAGAAGATGAGGAGAACTTCCTGGAGGTTCAGTTGGTCGACTTGATTCTGGAAGAGAAGCTGTTGCTTCTGGTCCCCAGGTGTGTTTGAACTTTGAACTTTGAACTTTGTCTCTAAATCCTGTTCTCTGTGTTTGACAGCGAGCTCAGTGGACTTCCTGATGAGTGATGGTGAAGACGAAGGCTCCTTCCTGTCTCTGCCCAGCGCCGCCTTCTCACAGCGCCCCTCTCTGAATGCTGACTTTAACAACACTAACTCGTCCCACCACCAGCTGCTCATTCAGGTAAATACTCCAGCAGGGGGCGCTGTGAGGTTTAACAAACCAGAACCAGCCTAACAAAATGATGATAAAGCAACTGAGCGCTCGGTTGGCTCAGAAACGCTGTGATGTCAGAGGACGTGGGTCTGAGGAGGAGCTGACTCGCTGCTGATGTCGCTGCTGATGTCGCTGCTGATGTCGCTGCTGATCTCGCTGCTGATGTCGCTGCTGATCTCGCTGCTGATGTCGCTGCTGATCTCGCTGCTGATGTCGCTGCTGATCTCGCTGCTGATGTCGCTGCTGATGTCGCTGCTGATGTCGCTGCTGATGTCGCTGCTGATGTCGTTGCTGATGTCGCTGCTGATCTCGCTGCTGATGTCGCTGCTGATCTCGCTGCTGATGTCGCTGCTGATGTCGCTGCTGATGTCGCTGCTGATGTCGCTGCTGATGTCGCTGCTGATCTCGCTGCTGATGTCGCTGCTGATGTCGCTGCTGATGTCGCTGCTGATGTCGCTGCTGATGTCGCTGCTGATGTCGCTGCTGATGTCGCTGCTGATGTCGCTGCTGATGTCGCTGCTGATGTCGCTGCTGATGTCGCTGCTGATCTCGCTGCTGATGTCGCTGCTGATGTCGCTGCTGATCTCGCTGCTGATGTCGCTGCTGATGTCGCTGCTGATGTCGCTGCTGATGTCGCTGCTGATGTCGCTGCTGATGTCGCTGCTGATCTCGCTGCTGATGTCGCTGCTGATCTCGCTGCTGATGTCGCTGCTGATGTCGCTGCTGATGTCGCTGCTGATGTCGCTGCTGATGTCGCTGCTGATGTCGCTGCTGATGTCGCTGCTGATGTCGCTGCTGATCTCGCCACTTTTAGCTGAATGAGGGTCAGTCGGGCGGCGCTTCATGTTCAGGACGGATGAAGCTGTTCTGCATGCGGCTCTGATCCGTCCGTCTGCTTTAATCAGCGTCAGTCAGGGAAGAATCGATTATTGAAATAATCCTCAACTAATTTAGTAATTAATTAATCTATACTCCAGTTAACGATTAATTGATTAATTAGTTTAGTCATCAATTAATCGTTAATTGGAGTATAGAGTTTGTAAAACATGCCTTTAGCTGACAGAGGAGCAGGAATTAGATGAAGATTTAAAATAATATAAACATTTTGCATTCAAGAAAATAACTTTTTCATCCATTAATGTCCTTCATCCAGAACTCCTCTATTGGAAACATTTTAATTATTCCTTATTTAATTTTGTAAAAGTCTTCTTTAAGGAACCTTCTGGCTCTCAGATTTTTTAATAGAATTTTTTAATAAAAAAAAAATCCCAGATAAGTTGATTTGCAAAATAATGGTTAGTTGCAGCCCTGTTAAAGTTATAAAAAGGGTTTATCCTCTTCTGTTATTAATGTTTCAGGAATTCTCTTCTCTGCCTGTAGGGGGCGATGTTTGCTAATCTTAGTGTCAAACTGTTCACAGGAAATGATTGTGAGGCTGTTTACTAATATTAGCACAAGATGATAAATATAATGAAGGAATCTGCAGCAGAAAGATTAATGACTCTATTAATACGATTCAGTTCATTCCTATGGAGCCAAAACACTTTCCAGTTCACCAGATCATCCAGTCAGATTGATTCAAAGTTTTCTATCTAAGGAAAACCAGCTGATTGCATCGACTCATTGACTCTTCAGCAATCCCTCACACTAAGCATGCTTGTAGCGACAGTGGAGAAGAAAAACTCCCTTTGAACAGGAAGAAACCTCCAGCAGAACCAGGCTCAGTGTGAGCGGCCATCTGCTGAGGCCCACTGGGGTTCAAGGAGACAGAAGCAGACATAAAAAAAAAAGCATAGATACAAAAGGCAACTGTCAACCAGCTCCACAGGCGGCCCCGTCCAGGAAACACACAGCCAGGCAGACGAGCTCCGAGCCAGCTCCCATGTCAGAGGATGAAGAGAGCACATCCAGTTAGTCACAGTCAGAGAAACAGGACTACACTGGAAAACAGGCCAAGCTCCAACATCTAGAAACAAAGGTGTTGATGGCAGCAGCACAGCTGATATTTCTCTCCAGGATGGAGTCACAGCCAAACAGGAACAGACCAGATGAAGCTACTATGAGAAAAAGCAGAGAGAGCAGAACGTTAGAGATTGAACTAACAGATTCTGCAGAGTGGGAGAATAGAGATAGAATGAAGCAGAATGATGAAAAAGGGGTCCCTATGTCCTCCAGCAGTCTAAGCCTATAGCAGCAGAACTATAGAGATAGCTCAGGATAACCTGAGCCACTCTAACTAGAAGCTTTATCAAAAAGGAAAGTTTTAAGCCTAGCCTTAAAAGTAGACAGACACGGAGGCAGACACCCTGTCGGACGGCGTCTAAAATGGCGACATCCATTTTAACCTGAACCGGTAAAACAAAAAATCATCTATTTTATTTTCCAGTTGGTAAAATGTTTCCATCTATGGAGATTGCTGATTGCATCGGCTTTTTAGCTTTGCAGTAACCCCTAGCAGCAGGCTGGCATGTAGAGCAAATCAGAAAGAAACGTCCAGCAGAACCAGAACCAGAACCAGAACCAGCCTCTGTGGCCTCCTGCTGATGGAGGATTCCAGAAGGCAGAGCAGAGGCAGAAAAGGAGAATCAGGGCCCTGAACCAGGCCTACTTTCTGTTTCAGTAGGAGATGAAGGATGAGATGATGAGAGGCAAACTGACCATGTGCTGATAGACAGCGTTTATCTTCCTGTTTCCATGGTAACCCAGGTTAGCCACATCCGTCTGCATTTCTGAGTTCAACTTTTTAGACTTAATTTTATGAAACTTTCTTTCCACAGAAAAAAAAAATTCTGATTCTTTCAGCAGGAAATCGGTTTCAGGTTTCATTCTTCCACTGGTCTTAACTGTCTGGTGTCTCCATCCTTTCATGCCGTCTCCACCTGCAGAGAGTCACCTGGTCCTGCTGGTGGACACCTGTCAATGTAAAAACCTTCATCATTTTCTGCTCCAGCTCCTAGTCCTGCGTAGACGTGGTTCTGCTCCAGCTCCTAGTCCTGCGTAGACGGGGTTCTGCTCCAGCTCCTAGTCCTGCGTAGACGGGGTTCTGCTCCAGCTCCTAGTCCTGCGTAGACGGGGTTCTGCTCCAGCTCCTAGTCCTGCGTGGACGGGGTTCTGCTCCAGCTCCTAGTCCTGCGTAGACGTGGTTCTGCTCCAGTTCCTAGTCCTGCGTAGTCGTGGTTCTGCTCCAGTTCCTAGTCCTGCGTAGTCGTGGTTCTGCTCCAGCTCCTAGTCCCTGCGTAGACGGGGTTCTGCTCCAGCTCCTAGTCCTGCGTAGACGTGGTTCTGCTCCAGCTCCTAGTCCTGCGTAGACGTGGTTCTGCTCCAGCTCCTAGTCCTGCGTAGACGTGGTTCTGCTCCAGCTCCTAGTCCTGCGTAGCCGTGGTTCTGCTCCAGCTCCTAGTCCTGCGTAGCACTGGTTCTGCTCCAGCTCCTAGTCCTGCGTAGACGGGGTTCTGCTCCAGCTCCTAGTCCTGCGTAGACGGGGTTCTGCTCCAGCTCCTAGTCCTGCGTGGACGGGGTTCTGCTCCAGCTCCTAGTCCTGCGTAGACGGGGTTCTGCTCCAGCTCCTAGTCCTGCGTAGACGGGGTTCTGCTCCAGCTCCTAGTCCTGCGTAGCCGTGGTTCTGCTCCAGCTCCTAGTCCTGCGTAGCACTGGTTCTGCTCCAGTTCCTAGTCCTGCGTAGTCGTGGTTCTGCTCCAGTTCCTAGTCCTGCGTAGTCGTGGTTCTGCTCCAGCTCCTAGTCCCTGCGTAGACGTGGTTCTGCTCCAGTTCCTAGTCCTGCGTAGACGTGGTTCTGCTCCAGTTCCTAGTCCTGCGTAGTCGTGGTTCTGCTCCAGCTCCTAGTCCTGCGTAGTCGTGGTTCTGCTCCAGTTCCTAGTCCTGCGTAGTCGTGGTTCTGCTCCAGCTCCTAGTCCTGCGTAGACGTGGTTCTGCTCCAGCTCCTAGTCCTGCGTAGACGTGGTTCTGCTCCAGCTCCTAGTCCTGCGTAGCCGTGGTTCTGCTCCAGCTCCTAGTCCTGCGTAGCACTGGTTCTGCTCCAGCTCCTAGTCCTGCGTAGCACTGGTTCTGCTCCAGTTCCTAGTCCTGCGTAGTCGTGGTTCTGCTCCAGTTCCTAGTCCTGCGTAGTCGTGGTTCTGCTCCAGCTCCTAGTCCCTGCGTAGACGTGGTTCTGCTCCAGTTCCTAGTCCTGCGTAGACGTGGTTCTGCTCCAGTTCCTAGTCCTGCGTAGTCGTGGTTCTGCTCCAGCTCCTAGTCCTGCGTAGTCGTGGTTCTGCTCCAGCTCCTAGTCCTGCGTAGACGTGGTTCTGCTCCAGCTCCTAGTCCTGCGTAGTCGTGGTTCTGCTCCAGTTCCTAGTCCTGCGTAGTCGTGGTTCTGCTCCAGCTCCTAGTCCTGCGTAGACGTGGTTCTGCTCCAGCTCCTAGTCCTGCGTAGACGTGGTTCTGCTCCAGCTCCTAGTCCTGCGTAGACGTGGTTGAGACCATTTCTAGAGCTCAGTCCCTTCACAGCGCTTCCTGTTGCCGTGGTTTCATGAGGACGGTGTGTCTTTTTGCAGACTCTGCAGGACAAGGTGTGCGAGTTTCAGGCTCGGTTCTGTTCGGAGGAGGTTTCCCGTCAGCAGCGGTTGCAGCAGCAGAAGGTGGGAGGAGCTCGGACGCTGCAGGAGGAGCAGTTCTTGGCCACGCCCAAAGGTGAGACCATCTTCCACTCTTATCTTTTATAACTTATGAGGACCTTGCTATGACCTGACCTGACCCCTAAACAAAACCAGGACCAGTTCAAACCAAACATAACCTCCGACCCAGGAACAGAAATCCTACTTATAGGAACTTTTCTCTGTCGGTTGGTAACTTTAGGTCAGAGACCTGGAATCACATGAAGGGTCCATCGTACGCTACGCTCACAGCATGAGCAGCAAAACGCCGTCTGCTGCTTCATTTCTGATGCTTTTCCACATTAAGGTCCGTCGCTCCTGAAGCGCAGCCAGGAAAGTCTGCAGAGACGCTTCTGCTCCGGTGTTCAGTGGCAAAGAGCAGCTCTGCTGAATCTGCTGCGATCAGCGGCTAAAAAATGGTTTGAATCTGTTTTTAAGGGAGAAATTCCTCCTGAAAGCATCATCTGTTTATTCAGTTCATCCAGATTATGATCCTGCCTTAAAATATTATTTCACAGTCGAATCGCTCAGACCCCCACATACCAGAACCGGATAGAGGTCTGCGCTGACACATTTTCAGTCCCGCACCTGTAACAGTTTGTTCGCTCCCGCCCGCAATTCCCGCATGATTCCGACGTTCGCCTACTGCTCAGGGCATTTCCTGTCACTAGTTTGAGGAATTAAACACACTGAGCTTAGCTGAGCTCATAACTGGCCGATCCTTCACCATATGCCGCTCATCGTCACGTTCACGTATGAAATAGAAATATAATAAGTTATAATCAATCATTTTAAACACCATATGATGCCCCCCTCCCGGGTGCATTTGAGCATAATAGCCGTCTACAGCTCAGCTTACAATTGATTTAAATGCAAGTAAAACTGGAAAAAATATTAGCCTACCGTTTCTGAATCCAGAATATTGAAAATATAAAATGTTATCCTAATAATAATTATTATTTAAGCGGGCTAGCCGTGGCCTGCCCCCCCCCGTGGTGCATCTCCTGAATAAAAGGAGAGATGGATCGCGCTATGGAACCTTCTCCGTGGTTTTTAGCAGAAAGTGTTTGATGTCTTTTCCAGTTTCTATAATAATAACAATAGGACATTGCTGTCAGGACATTGCTGTCAGGACAGTGCTGTCAGCAGCTGCAGCGGACAGGTGGGCGTGGTTCACACCTGTGGCTCGTTCAGCGGCGTGCGGCCCCACTTCATATGTCAAAATGTGATGTGTATATATATGATAGACTGATAATTTATGATTTTATTTTACATTTTAAAACCCGTTTTTAGTTCGTGGGACTGCTGCTTATCACCGCTCCCACCCGCACTGAGCTTTCAATATGTGTCCCGCGCCGCGCCGCGCCGCACTGCTTTGCATTGGGTCCCTCTGGAGAGCAGGGCTCTAGTACCAGATCTGCTCGGGGCCCCGCCCCTTCTTATGACGTCACCATATGGCAACTCCACTCGGACAAACTGTATCGCATCCGTTTCTAAAGGATCAAATCTCTTTTGGAGTCTCAACATATTATTACCTTTATTTTCTATTATTTTACATTTCATCTGTGATCTAAAGTAGCTGAAAGTAGAAAACAATCATCAGTCTGCTATTTAACAAGGGGACACAAAAAGCCTCCGCTGATTTTATTCTTTTATTTAAACGGTTATTCTACTTGTAGAAAAAGAACAGTTGTTTTTGACACAAATTTAAAGTTAGTGTAGCGTAACATGGCTAACTGAGTGAGCTAAAACAGGCTAATCTGTTAGCTGCTGAGCACAGCTAGCCACAGCGCTACTAGCTCTCCTGCTTTATATCATGGTCGAACAGTTTCTAACTATAAACTTTTTGTTATCGATCAGGTAAAACTTCATCGGTCAGTAGACACGCTAACGCTACAGATGCCGACTCGGCAAACTTGATGCTGTGTGATGTTATTATCGTTGTCTAGGCAACCACAATGTTTACATCATTTGTCAACGTTCATCCAATCCTGTAACTGGCAGGAAGCCGGACCCGAGCAGTTTCCCAGTGCGCTGTCACTGGGAATGCCCAGCAGCAGCTGCTGCAGGCCCAGTCGCCTCCTGGGGGTTTCCCCCTTCTGTTGGTGGCGGCTGGAAGAAGATGTTAGTTTATTAACCCCTAAATTAGCTAAATTATCTGGGTAAAGCACCTGATCTGCTGCTTCAATCACAGGAGGTGTGAACGTAGCATTAGGGTCCCTTTTTTATTATTTTTTTATTATCCCTGGATGGTCCTTGGCTGGTCCTTGGATGGTCCTTGGCTGGTCCTTGGCTGGTTCTTGGCTGGTCCTTGGCTGGTCCTTGGCTGGTCCTTGGATGGTTCTTGAATGGTCCTTGGCTGGTCCTTGGCTGGTCCTTGGATGGTTCTTGAATGGTCCTTGACTGGTCCTTGGATGGTTCTTGAATGGTCCTTGACTGGTCCTTGACTGGTCCTTGGATGGTCCTTGACTGGTCCTTGGCTGGTCCTTGACTGGTCCTTGGATGGTTCTTGAATGGTCCTTGACTGGTCCTTGACTGGTCCTTGGATGGTCCTTGGCTGGTCCTTGGCTGGTCCTTGGCTGGTCCTTGACTGGTCCTTGACTGGTCCTTGGCTGGTCCTTGGATGGTCCTTGGATGGTCCTTGGCTGGTCCTTGACTGGTCCTTGGCTGGTCCTTGGATGGTCCTTGGATGGTCCTTGGCTGGTCCTTGACTGGTCCTTGGCTGGTCCTTGGCTGGTCCTTGGATGGTTTTTGGCTGGTCCTTGACTGGTCCTTGGCTGGTCCTTGGATGGTCCTTGGCTGGTCCTTGGCTGGTCCTTGGATGGTCCTTGGCTGGTCCTTGGATGGTTCTTGAATGGTCCTTGACTGGTCCTTGGCCAGTCCTTGGCTGGTCCTTGGCTGGTCCTTGGATGGTCCTTGGCTGGTCCTTGACTGGTCCTTGGCTGGTCCTTGGATGGTCCTTGGCTGGTCCTTGGCTGGTCCTTGGATGGTTCTTGAATGGTCCTTGGCCAGTCCTTGGCTGGTCCTTGGCTGGTCCTTGGATGGTCCTTGGCTGGTCCTTGGCTGGTCCTTGGATGGTTCTTGAATGGTCCTTGGCCAGTCCTTGGCTGGTCCTTGGCTGGTCCTTGGATGGTCCTTGGCTGGTCCCCTACAATACCTTTTTAAACATCAATCTTTGTTCTAAAACATTCTTTCTGTCGTGATTTGTGGACATTGAGATCTAAAGAGGAGCGCCATCTGCTGGTCAGACCCTGTAATGCAGTGAAAGGTGGAGTCAGATGCCAGAGGGGGGGTCGCTGCAGTGGCTGGAATTTAGAGGGAATTTCCCTGGAAGTTGCAGGGAAGATGGCGGCCATTTAGCTGGCGGTTGATTGGGAGCGGCCATGTTTAACGGCTGCTGCTGTATCTGGGAAAATGCAGAAAACTGCAAAAGCACTGAGAGGTGTTTTAAATCTAGATTAAAGGTCTATAGATTTTCTTTCTTAGAGTGGTCTTTGCTGGAGCTTTCTAAACATCATTAAAGTTTTCAGTCATTTTATTATCGATCATTTTCTTTCAGGTGTGAAGCAGCTGCAGGCCTCTGCAGCTTCAGGTTCTTTCAGCCGTGCAGAAGAGGAGCAGCTGGTGTTTCGGCTGCGTTCACAGGTACGTCTGCGACCCGAGGAACAGTTCCCCATGTCGAGTTCTGACTCGGCTCTGACCTTAGAATGCGATGACTGGACCCGGTCCGAACGCGCCGACTGTTCCTGGAACCATCCTGGGTAGTAAGCGTGTCGCTGCCTTTTGCAGGTGGAGGAGCTGGAGGAGAAGCTGTTGGATCAGACCCAGGAGGTGGAGAGACTTCGCTCTGAACTGGTACGGGCCCGTTGGACCGACTGGGAGACTGGGAGGCCGTCCTTAGAGTCCCACAGCTACTGGACCTAAACCAGAACCTCAAAGTTCTGACCCAGCTGGGTTTTACTTTTAACGCTAGAGCTCCCACTGGCCGTCATTTTCCCATGATGATGTCATCACCTGAGATGGTCCTAGTGTGCGATATAAACCCATTATGGAAATTTAAACCTTAGAAAATAATCTAAGATATAATTTTCAAAGGCTTAATTGTAAGCTATTTTAATTTGTGTTCTAAATTTGTATTAAAATAAATTAAGTTTGAAATTAGAATTTTATTAACATAAATCGATTGATTCCGCCCAAACAAAGCAGATCACTTTTTCACATTTTCACAACTTTTTACCAGTTCAAGGATAAAATCCCTTCAAGCTCCTGAACCAAACCAACTGGTTTATAGCTGATATTTCCAGTAGATCATAAATATCAGCCTCCTTCATGTCGGAACTTTAACAGAATCCTTTCTGACCATCTGATCAAAAACCTCCAGCCTACCTGTGTGGTTAGACTGGAGCACGGACTCTGGTTTGGCTTCAGGTGGATGTGGACCGGCTGAGGTGTGGGCGGTGCTTGAACAAAAGTTTCGCTATTGTCTGCTACGTCTGCGTTGGTTGATCATCCTCGGAGCCGCTGTCAGAATCGGAGCCTCTTCCTCCTCATCGTTCCCTCCCTCTCCGCCCGAATCGCTATCATCAATATTTTGAAGCATTTTTAAAACCTGTTTCGCTGTTAGATTTCCTCTAAAAGCCATTTTTCTATATTAGCTAAAGAGTTCTAGGTTGACTGTTGGTTGCTAGGCAACGGTACCGAACGTCAATCAACCGCGGGAAGAATTTACAATGCAGCTAATAGAGCCATAAAAATGACGACTGTGGAGGATCGAGGTAGAATTAACCATATTTATTTTTTACATTTTAATTTTATTAAAAATATATAAAGTGAAGGAAATATAGAAACAGGAAAAGTCAGTTAACATGAGCAACATAAGTTTTAAATATATTTCTTTCCCTTTAAAATCTCAGAACCGTCAAAATGGCGGCTGTTCCAGTGTTAGAAAGTGTGTTTTAGCAGAAATGTCTGATGTAAACGTTTGGTTCTGGTTTCACTTCATCTTAATTCTGTTAGTTTAAAACCACGGCGCCCACCTGTCCTGCAGGGGGCGACGGACCTGGAGAAGCAGCTGGAGCGGCTGCTGGTGGAGAACGAGCGTCTGAAGCAGGAGCTGAAGTCATGCAGGGGTTCCGAGGGTCAGAAGCTCGACGCCGCGGCCGACAGCTGCAGCCGCTGCCCCCACGCTCAGGTGAGCTTCCAGGTGGGCGTGGTTCTGATGGACAGCGCCTCGCCTTCTGCCTTTCACATTTAGTCGCTTTGAGTTAGCAGCTCCAGGAGAGTCTGAGCCCCCTACCCATGTGTCTGTGCTGCAGGAGGTGGAGGCCCTGCGCAAGGAGGTGTCGCGCTGGGAGAGCCGGGCCCAGCAGAGGGAGCAGCGGCTGGCGGAGGTAGAGGAGGAGCTGAAGGAGAAGAGCTGCAGGCTGGAGGCTCTGCAGCAACAGCTGGACGAGTCCAGGAGAAGACGGACCGACAGCGAGCGCCAGCTCCATCTCCGTCTGCAGGAATGTGAGGATGAGCTGGTCAGACGTGCAGCGGCGCCCTCTAGAGTCAAGGTGAGGAAAAGCAGGTCAGGGAAACGGGGATGAAACTGTTAGAATCCAGCAACTGATGAAGCCGCTTCTGTTCTCCCTCAGTTTGTGACCCAGACGGTGGAGGTGGAGTCGGCAGACTCTCAGAAAGCTGTGGTCGAGATGCAGTTGAAGAACGGCGCCCTGCAGGAGCAGCTGTCTGCGCAGAAGCAGCTGCTGCGGGAGCTGGAGACGCAGCTGCACGAGTCCCAGCGGACCTGCACTCAGCTGCGGACTCAGGTGAGTTCAGGGACGCACCTGCAGCTCTACCTCCGTCAGAAACATGCAGCCTTCCTGGGGTGGGTTGGTGAGGGATAAACAGGAAGGCTGCAGGTGTGACTTCACCTTTAGGTTGATATGAAGAATCCGACCAGGTTCAGGTGATCTGATCTTGTTTTATTTTTCTACACTGGTTCGGCTGCAGCTCCGTCTCTGTGACCTTTTATCCCAGACTGTCAACAATGGAAAGAGCCGCTTGGATCCCAGGTTGTCCAAGGTTGGACCCCCCCCCCCCCTTTGGGTCAGGCTCCAAAGCTCCCTGATAAACCTAAAGCTATGACTCTGTCATTCTAATCAGTTATTATCTACAACCAGAAATATGGATCATCTAAATAACCTTGAGTGCATTTCGGGTTTTACCGACACGCCTTTCAATCTGTGTTAGATTACTCCAGTGTTTTTATTTAGTTCTTTCAAACATTAATATACAAAAGAAAAAAATACTTTTCTAAATGATCTATTCAGTATTAAATAAAGATTATACTTCTTCATATTCTCCAAAAAATAAATGACATCTTAAAATGTGTCTTTAATTGGATCAATATCGGTTCATTAAAAGTGTTTTTGATTTTTTTTCCTTTGGGGAAGCTCTGGACTCTGACCAGTCAGTCAGGAAACCATTACAGTAGATAAACCAGTGTTTAGTGTCGACGTTTGTTAGATTCAGCTGTTTAGAAAACCTGTTTCTGTGTTTTTACGTCTTCTTCATGTTAGCATAGAAACTTTGCATTAGTTACTGGAACCAAAGAAAAAAACAGAAGTTTTCCAAGTTTAGTAAAACTAACCTGCAAAGTTTGGCTTAATGACTTTAACCAGAGGGAAATGTTAGCTTAGCTTAGCTTGACTTCCACTAACATAAACGTTAGCTTAGTGTAGCCTAATGGCTAATAGCGGACGTGCCGCTACCCGATCCGTAGCACGATCAGTAATAGAAATAAGTGCTTTTAGTACCATAATTACATTTTTTATGGAGACCCGGGTGTATATCTTTAACTCACTGGAGAATGCTAATTAACATCTTTAAAAAATGTTTTATGAGACAATTTTGATGCTTTTTACGTTCAACGGCTTCTCTGATGTCATCATGGCGCACGCTCCGAGCATAAACCATCTTTATCTGCATTTTCTTTCTCTACGCACTACTGTATATACCATAATGTTAACAGGAAAGGGGTTAGGGTATTAAAAAAGGAAATTTAATTTAAAACTTCGTTTAAAAATTTCATTGTTTAAAGTTCAGCCTTAAACAGTAATAAAGACATAAAAAATAGTAATGTAAACTCATGACTGTATATTTATAGTTCTAACATGAATTTTTTAAATTCTATAATCATATTCAGCCATCCGTTTGTTTTTTATGTGTATCAATCAGTTCTGTAGACATGAACTGCTGCTGGAGTTAAACACAACGGATGGAGATTTTAAATACGCGTCAGCAGCTACGTTCGAACCGCGCGTCAGCAGCTACGTTCGGACCGCGCGTCAGCAGCGGCTACGTTCGGACCGCGCGTCAGCAGCGGCTACGTTCGGACCGCGCGTCAGCAGCGGCTACGTTCGGACCGCGCGTCAGCAGCGGCTACGTTCGGACCGCGCGTCACTTCAGCAGCTACGTTCGACGCGCGTCACTTCAGCAGCTACGTTCGACGCGCGTCACTTCAGCAGCTACGTTCGACGCGCGTCACTTCAGCAGCTACGTTCGACGAGCGTCACTTCAGCAGCTACGTTCAAACCGCGCGCAGCTTCAGCAGCTACGTTCGACGAGCGTCACTTCAGCAGCTACGTTCAAACCGCGCGCAGCTTCAGCAGCAGAAGCAGCCAGTGATGTGCAAAGTCTCTGGTTGACGCGCATCAAGGCGCAGCTTGAAGCAGCAGCGCCTCATTAGGGTCTGAGGCGCGTGACGCGCTTTACAAGCAGCAGATACTGGAAAAGATGAACTTTAGCTGCTTGACTCACCAAATCAACCAATCAGAGAAGCTGATGTTGGAGCCTGCAGAGAGATGGTGCTGCTCATGCAGAGAAAGGGAACCGAACATCAGTGGTTCTTTATGTTAATGTCCTCTGGATGCTCTAAATAACATCGGCTAATGAGAGACTAAGCTGTGGCTGAAACATGTCGTTCAGATCCATGTTTACGAAGGCGAGATGCAGCGAGCTCAGGGTCAGCTGGAGGCGGAGATGCAGAACCTGGAGGAGGAGAAGAACCGTGTGATCGAGGAGGCCTTCATCAGAGCTGAGAGCGAGATGAAAGCCGTTCATGAGAACCTTGCAGGTCGGCTCCATCTGCTCACTTGATGTTGCTGTTGTGGAGTCTGTGCTTGCTGACAGGATGATGATGATGATGATGATGTGTGCAGGTGTGAGGATGAACCTGCTCAGCCTGCAGCCGGCTCTCAGGACTTTGACGTCGGACTATAACTGTCTGAAGAAGCAGGTTCAGGACTTCCCCTCCATGCTGGATAAAGCCATCTCTGAGGCCAAGCAGGAGGTGAGGGGCGCAGACGCATCACAGAATCGCCTCCTGGCGGCGAGAAGCGAGGAAGAGGAGCACCAGTGGGCGGGTTCTGATGGCGTTTCTGCTCCACCTGTTTCCAGATCTGCCAGGTGATCAGTGATGTGAGCAGCACCAACCAGGAGCTGCTGCGGAAGTACAAGCGAGAGATGAACCTGAGGAAGAAGTGTCACAACGAGCTGGTCCGATTAAAAGGTTCGACAAAACCTTGGTGTCAGTTTAGAAAGGAAAAGCAAACCTAGATTAAAGGCGTGTCTAAACCAGAACCTAGGTCTGGTTTTAACTCAGTGAACCTGACTGATCCTCTGCAGTACCGGCTCTACCAAACTGACCCATCCTCTGTGTGCTCCAGGTAACATCCGGGTCTTCTGCCGGGTCCGACCCGTCAGTCAGGAGGAGCAGGACTCTGCAGATAACAGAACCATGCTGAGCTTTGACTCGGACGATGACGCCATCCTCTATCTGTCCAGCAAGGGGAAGATCATGACGTTTGAGCTGGACAAAGTCTTCCCGCCGCAGGCCTCACAGGAGGAGGTTAGTCCTGGAAACCATCCTCTCCCTCTTAGATTTACCTGAATCCGTCTCACCTGTCTGCCTGCTATCTGATTGGTCCATCAGGTGTTCCAGGAGGTCCAGGCTCTGGTCACTTCCTGCATCGACGGCTTCAACGTCTGCATCTTCGCCTACGGACAGACGGGCTCAGGGAAAACCTACACCATGGAGGTATGAGGCGGATCAGAACCTTTAGTTATCCAGCTAGAAACTAAGCTCTGATAGGAGGAGTCCTGTATGATGTCATACCTGTAAACCCGCCCCCTGTGTTCTCAGGGTGTGGCTGATAATCCAGGCATCAATCAGCGCGCGCTCCACCTGCTGTTCTCGGAGGTGACGGAGAAAGCTCCGGACTGGGACTACAGGATCATCGTCAGCATGGTGGAGATCTACAACGAGACGCTACGGTGAGGAACCTGGTTCTGGATCCAGACTGGATCAGGACCAGAAGGTCTGGAGCAAATGTGTCTTCAATGCTGTGTCAGTGTTGCATTGTTCAAAAGACCAGACGAAAAAACGGAACCAAAGTACCGATGGAAGCCCTGCAGTGAGAATCATCTGGGTTCATCTGAAGCAACGAGGCAAAACTTCTGACCGAAGCTTTGATTCAAATAACAGATTTTCATTTTCAGGTCGATATTCAGGCTCCTGGTAGAAAAGGAAAAGTTCGCTCAGCCAGGAATCACCAATGGATCATTATTTATACTTAAAACTAATACATTCATTTAATGAATGTTGTGTTAATCAGTAAAAAAACAAAAAATTATAATTTCCATTGCGATCACTGAGTCTGGGAGCGGCCATCTTTGCCCAAATCCTGTAGCCCCTCCCTCCTGCCATCTTCCAGCAGTGACGTCACGGTGCGGTAAGCCTAGCGCCATTCTCCCCGCTTTCCAAGCTAAATCAATGGGAACTACTAAAATGGAGATAAGAGACGTTATTCCAATGGAACAAGACAATATACATTTAAAATAAGAAAACAGAATAGCATTGTCTTATTTCAAGCATAATATCTAATTAGCTTATTTTAAGAGTAAAATTACTCATTCCAGCGGCAACTAACTCATTTAGCTGCTGAAATCAAGGTTAAATATACTTAATTAAAAAAATGTACTTATTTCTAAATCATTTTTCAGTGTCGGGTGGGTGTCTCTGCCCCCGGGTGGGTGTCTCTGCCCCCTGCTAGGTCCCTCTGCCCCCTGGTGGGTGCCTCTGCCCCCGGGTGGTGCCTCTGCCCCCTGGTGGGTGTCTCTGCCCCCTGGTGGGTGCCTCTGCCCCCTGGTGGGTGTCTCTGCCCCCTGGTGGGTGTCTCTGCCCCCTGGTGGGTGCCTCTGCCCTCGGGTGGGTGCCTCTGCCCCCTGCTAGGTGCCTCTGCCCTCGGGTGGGTGCCTCTGCCCTCGGGTGGGTGCCTCTGCCCCCTGGTGGGTGCCTCTGCCCTCGGGTGGGTGCCTCTGCCCCCGGGTGGTGCCTCTGCCCCCTGGTGGGTGTCTCTGCCCCCTGGTGGGTGCCTCTGCCCTCGGGTGGGTGCCTCTGCCCCCTGCTAGGTGCCTCTGCCCTCGGGTGGGTGCCTCTGCCCTCGAGTGGGTGCCTCTGCCCTCGGATGGGTGCCTCTGCCCCCTGCTAGGTGCCTCTGCCCTCGGGTGGGTGCCTCTGCCCTCGAGTGGGTGCCTCTGCCCCCTGCTAGGTGCCTCTGCCCCCTGCTAGGTGCCTCTGCCCTCGGGTGGGTGCCTCTGCCCTCGAGTGGGTGCCTCTGCCCCCTGCTAGGTGCCTCTGCCCCCTGCTAGGTGCCTCTGCCCTCGGGTGGGTGCCTCTGCCCTCGAGTGGGTGCCTCTGCCCTCGGGTGGGTGCCTCTGCCCTCGGGTGGGTGCCTCTGCCCTCGGGTGGGTGCCTCTGCCCTCAGATGGGTGCCTCTGCCCCCTGCTGGGTGCCTCTGCCCTCGGGTGGGTGCCTCTGCCCCCGGGTGGGTGCCTCTGCCCCCGGGTGGGTGCCTCTGCCCCCGGGTGGGTGCCTCTGCCCCCTGGTGGTAGCCTCTTCCCCCTGGTGGTAGCCTCTTCCCCCGGGTGGGTCCCTCTGTCCCAGGGTGGGTCCCTCTGTTCCCGGGTGGGTGCCTCTGCCCTCGGGTGGGTGCCTCTGCCCTCGGGTGGGTGCCTCTGCCCCCGGGTGGGTGCCTCTGCCCCCGGCTGGGTGCCTCTGCCCCCTGGTGGGTGCCTCTGCCCCCGGGTGGGTGCCTCTGCCCTCGGGTGGGTGCCTCTACCCCCGGCTGGGTGTCTCTGCCCCCGGGTGGGTGCCTCTGCCCCCTGGTGGGTGTCTCTGCCCCCTGGTGGGTGTCTCTGCCCCCGGGTGGGTGCCTCTGCCCTCGGGTGGGTGCCTCTGCCCCCGGGTGGATTCTGAAAATCTGTTTTCCTGCAGAGATCTGCTCAGGGACAATCCTACGGACAAACTGGACATCAAGTTGAATCCTGACGGCAGCGGACAGCTTTACGTCCCCGGACTCACCGAGATCACAGTTCAGAGCCCCGAGGACATCAACAAGGTAGGAGCTTCCTGTTTGTCCTTTCAGAGTAAAACGCTCTGGAAAGAACCTGTCGATGAAATCAGAACAAACTTCAGCGTTCGGTTCTGATGAGCGTCTCACCCGTCCTCAGGTGTTTGAGCTGGGTCACCTGAACAGAGCGACGGCGTGCACCAACCTGAACGAGCACAGCTCGCGCTCCCACGCCCTGCTCATCATCACAGTGTCTGGATTAAACAGTACGACTGGAACCAGGACACAAGGTGTGGACCACAGGATGTTTCTGACTGCCGGCGGTTCGGATGTGGCGTTTTCAGGCCGCAGAGGGCCTGGAGATTGGACTCTCTGGTTCTGATGGTTGGACTCGTTTTCTCAGTCGGCGCTTTTCTCTGTTCGGCTTTAGGGAAGCTGAACCTGGTGGACCTGGCGGGATCGGAGCGGATCGGGAAGTCCGGAGCCGAGGGCAGTCGGCTCAGAGAGGCCCAGTGCATCAACAAGTCGCTGTCGGCGCTGGGCGACGTGATCAGCGCGCTGCGCAGCAGACACGCCCACGTCCCCTTCAGGAACTCGCGGCTCACCTACCTGCTGCAGGACTCGCTGAGCGGAGACAGCAAGACCCTGATGATGGTCCAGGTAAGTCCGGCTGGAGTCCAGGGCCGGGTCTTCTTGGTGCCGGTGCCTTTCTCACACTTCCATGTCCCTGCAGGTGTCTCCGTTGCCAGGAAACATGAGCGAGTCAGTCTGCTCGTTGAAGTTTGCTCAGCGCGTTCGCAGCGTGGAGCTCAGCTCGTCTTCGTCCAAGAGGCACGAGAACTCGTCCACCTCGTCCTCGCCAACGCACGACAGCGTGGAGGTACAGTGATCCCCGGCCAGCAGCCCGATCTGGGCCAGAACCAACCAGAACCCGCTGGTCTAATCTAGAATAACCATGAAATAAAAAGCGTAGAAGAAGAAACTGTTGTGACTTCTTCCACAGCTGGACTCTCCCCCCGTGACGCCCGTCCCCCTCCCCATCTCCCGGGCCAGCAGCGCTGGCTCAACACTCTCCTCGGCCTCCAGAACTCCCAGTGGCTCCCGCAGGAGGTCCCAGTCACAGCTGTCTGCAGGTAAACGTGCACACTCATGCGCACGCTCACGTGCACACTCAGCCGTCATGGCGTTGACCTCCTGCTGCAGGTGTTTGATCCACCCCTTCAGTTCGGTTTGGTTCTGATGGTTCATCCATTCAGACGGGAATTTTCTGATTCCTTCAGGTTTTCTGGAACCAGGCCAGTTTTTTTATCTTAAGCCCTATTTCCTGCTGAGATCGGTCCGATCACGGTAACCAAGACAACTGTTAAGTGTAAATGGTACGCACAACCGAACCGGACCGTGCCGGACACAACCGGACCGCGCTAACATGGTACTAGTTCATCAGCAGGGTTTGGCGGCGTTCAGTTCTGGCTCAGTTCTCAGATAACAAAGAGCGCATTAGCAGACCGCTGACCGCCTCATCTCCTCAGTCAGCCTCCGTAATCAGGAACGCACGATTTCCAGTGATGATTCTCACAACCTGATCCGTCCCGAAAGCACGATCCGCCCTGCGCCAACAGATATACGTCTGGGTGTCCATCAATTAAACAGCTTCTTTGACATCATCATGGGACACGATCAGAGCAGTAAATCTGATTAAACCATGTTTATCTGCATTTTATTTGTTTATTTCTTTAGATTAAGCACTATATATCATAATGTTAACATTAAAGGAAAACACAAAACTAAAAAAAGACTAGATTAATGATTAAAATCGTAAGGAAGCAGAAATTCCAAACGTTATGATTCCGAATTCTCCTGATTGGTGCCCGACTTTACACGAGTGAATAAAGTGAATGTGATTGGTCGATTATCAGTCAATGTGGCCGGTTTGTCGGAAGCATCTTGCTATCCAGTTAGCAACTTAGTGCTAGCAGGTTCCCAGCCGTACATGTTTGAGCCCTTGCCTCGCAACGCTGCCAGTTCTGTTAGCTCTACGCCTGCCGAAGACACAGACGTCCATCCCCGTGAACACTGGGACGCAACTCAATGGGAAAGGAAAGGATTCTGGTTTCAACCGTTGCGTATATTAGCTGCGACACATGAATCAAGATGCTATGGCCGAAAACATTTGATTGACAGATGACCGTTGATATATGATTGGATGAATTTAGGTGTTCAGGCTGACGTAGAACTAACTGGCCTGCAGGAGATAACGGAAAAAAACACAGATTTTAAGACAGGATTTGTTTTTTTTGTAAAAAATGTCTACATTTTGGGACAATATGGTCTGATAAAGAGAACATTTATATACCTGTTTAAGCCAGAATGATTTGACATTTAAATCTGACTTCGCTACGACTTTAAATCAAAACTGAAAAGTTAGCTCCTGGAAGTAGCGTAGCATCCCATTTCCTGTGCAGATCAACCAGAGACCAGAGATAAACAGAAAGGATTTTAAAGCATTTGTTTTCTTAGGAAATGCATAATTAACCTTTAACACATTATATTTTAGTATGCTTAATATTTTGGGGAGGGAAAATCATCATTTAGATCATTTTAACAAAATAAAATCGAGGATGTAAATCTGGAAGCACAAATGAGCTGATGGCGTATGAACGGGTCGTGCTCCAGGATTGATCGGATGGTGACGATGATTCTTTAGTGGAGTGATGAAGCTAAACGTCTGTCGTTGTTTCCTGCGTCTGGAAGCCCTGATCTTCTGCCTTCTTCGCCTGACTCTCCTCATACTTCCTAAATGTTACGGGTGCCGCCATGTTGGTTCGCTTGTTTCCCTCTAGAGAGCAGTAGTACCGTAGATCACCACTAGGAGGCGAGGAACCGTGCCAGGGTGGCGTGTAAACGTTAACTGATCCTAGCTCAGTCCGGATCGGTTTTCAGGAGTAGAAATGAGGTTTTAGGGTGAAGCTGAATTATTTTGGATGTTTAGGGAGCAGCTGATGTTTTATTTCATCCATTCCTACAGAACCTCAAACTTCCTCCTGATGTTCCATGAATTCAGCGCGGAAATAAAGCGGCAGAAAAGCTTTTATTTTGTTGTCTTCAAACTGAATAAAACCTGCAGCCTTCTCTGGCTTACTGCAGTGCATCATGGGAACTGCGGTCCTTCAGTGACTGAGCTGTGCCTCCTAAACGCTGCAGGTCGGAGCTGTCCCAGAGACGGAGCGCCATCGCTGTCAGTCTGTCCCTCTACCTCTGTGTCCTCATTCTGTGCTCTGATTGGTTGGTTTCCAGACAGACAGGTAGACAGAGCCGGCCCATTGGTGGGGGACGGTGGGCAGGTAGGTGGGGTGGGGGGGTTGCTGGATATGTTGGCATGGCGCTCTCAGCATGGCATGGTGACCCCGTGTTGTCTCTAACACCCCCTCCCCCCCAGCTGTCACTTCTGAGCTTGTGTTTGTGCTGCAGAGTCCTGAACGGGCCCCGCCGAGGCTGCCGGACCTGAGCGGGCCCCGCCGAGGCTGCCGGACCTGAGCGGGCCCCGCCGAGGCTGCCGGACTTGAGCGGGGCCCGCCGAGGCTGCCGGACCTGAGCGGGCCCCGCCGAGGCTGCCGGACTTGAGCGGGGCCCGCCGAGGCTGCGGGTCCTGAGTGGCCCCCGGCCCCTGAGGGCTTTAGGCTCTTCTGGGTTCTTACACAGTTTGATTCCATATAGATAGAAAGTTTCTGAACCATCTGGACTCTTCTATCTTCAGGAATGAGTCCAGATGTTCTGTCTCTTTCCTGGTTCTGGTTTCATGGATTTTTCATACTAAGGTTTATGTTTCTACATCAGTAGACGACACATTAATTATAAAGGTTATTATTTTATTTTTTTATTGATATTTTAACAAGCACCTAAAGGAGAACTGTGGAAAAGTCAAGTCAGACATGAAAGCTGTGTAGGAATCCTGGAAACCTGAACTCTGACGGGTCAAAGGTGTTTCCTGTTCGGACCCGTGGCCGCCTTATGGACCAGAACCATTTAGTGAGACACCAATTATTACCCAAAGCAATGGGGCAGCGGCGCGGCGCCCTCTGCTGGCTGACTATCAGAATGCAGGTCCAGCAGAGCTGTGTGGAACCTGGAGGTTTCCCTTCCCGCATGCCGGTACCCCCCCACTCAGGGCCGAGGAGACGCGGTCCAGATGTTTCTGTGATCTTTCTTCTCACTGATGTTTCTTCCTGCAGGACGACTGAAGCTGACGGCCTGAGGGACGCTGAGAAGTCCAGGGAGACGGCGGGGTGTGGGACATCACCCAGAGGACCGTCCTCTGGAATCAACGTTTCTACCGTCAGAAGACTGGACCTTACAGAGCGGGTCAGAATTGATCTGTGAGCGGAAACCATGATGATGACGATGATGATGATGATGATGACGGACCGCTGAGACTCTGAGGACGCGTCTCCTAAACTGAACCCCCATTGCTCTTCCTATTCTCTCATGTTGCACTTTAATTTAGGTCGTTTTCTGAGTGACAGGTTTTTCTTTGAGGCCGACGGGCGGACGGACGGCGCCCCCTCCCTGTAGGCCGACGGGCGGACGGCGCCCCCTCCCTGTAGGCCGACGGGCGGACGGCGCCCCCTCCCTGTAGGCCGCCCCCTCCCTGTAGGCCGCCTGTCTGAGGGCTTTTATTTTGGTATTTTAGTTGAATTTTGGAGGAGAATCAAACTTCTGATAATCTTTAGGTGTTCAGATCAAAGGTTGAATCTAAAGCTTCATGATGTGAGGTTCTCCGCTGTTCGGTTGGACCTTTCAGCAGACTAAAGATGTGTGGACAAATTCTGGACCTGCAGCCTGTCTGTCCCCCCCCCTCGTCCAACAGGAGGTCATAAGAACGTTTGTTTCCTGCAGAGCTGCGGTTCTTGGTACCAAATGGATCATCTGGTAGTTCTGCTCTGGACGCTGCAGGGTTCTGATCCAATGTTTGTCTCCTGATTGTTTTTTCTAAATGTTTTTATTAAACTTTCCTGAATCGAGTCTCTGCATCGTTCATCTTGATTTCCAGAAGTTTTACCTTCGTTCCACAGGAAACGGACATAAAATCATTATTCTCCTACTGATGGATGCAGGTCAGAGGTCAGGGGGAGAACCCCCCCCCCCCATGTGCAGGTTCTGTCAAACCGTTTCACGCTTAACTCCGAACTCATTTAGGACAACTTCCATTAATGTAAGAAATTAAGAAAAATGAATCGACTTCAGTTCAAACATTTCAGTAAAAACCAACTAAGCTAATAAAACCAATTAGCTGCTATAGTTCTACACAGGAAATGTTAAATGATGCAACAATATCAGTTCTGCATGGATTTTATGTTTGAGAACCAAAGTTTCTGTCAGTTTGGAAAATAAGCTTTAAAGGAATAATCAGTAAAAAATAAAAAACATTTTCATTCCGATCACTGAGTCTGGGAGCGGCCATCTTTGCCCAAATATAGTAGCCCCTCCCTCCTGCCATCTTCCAGCAGTGACGTCACGGTGCGGTAAGCCTAGCGCCATTCTCCCCGCTTTCCAAGCTAAATCAATGGGAACTACTAGACACATCTGCAATCAACAACAATTATTGAAGATTTCCAGAGGACTTCACCATTGAAATTCACCAGAGCTATAGTGAAACTGACAATGCCCACGTGCATGGCAGCTGGATGCTGGAATACATCGGGTAAAAGTGAAAAAAAAGAGTTATTCCACCTTTCTGATTCCTGATCCTCCACGGACGGGTTGGTCGTTGGATCGCCAACTTGAAGAGGGAGGATTTGCCATCGAACTTCTGGCCAGAGAAAAAACCCGTAATATGTAGCCGACATTTGGAAGAAGAATGTTTTCAAGATGACTTGGATAATAGCGCGTTGTGACAAATCTTTTTAAATGATTTTCCTAAATCAGAAATCAATAGTTTAGATGGTGGATTCCTAACCTCATGATTGATCCAGAGGTTATAACCTTTATGGCAGAGGGGTTAGCATTTGGCGAGCTAGCATGTCGTCACCATTAGCTTTGCTGGCTGGTTTTTCTAATCTAGATCCAAGGTCACTGGTCAGGAAAGACGTTCAGTGCTGAGGTGAAAGGATCACTGATCTCTATTCACTGGGTCGCCTGTTGGTGTTACAGGGTTGAAATGAAGCCACCGGCTGCCATATTGGTACTCCCAACATACAGGTGCTGGTCATAAAATTAGAATATCATGAAAAAGTAGATTGATTTCAGTAATTCCATTTAAAAAGTGAAACTTGTATATTATATTCATACATTACATACAAACTCATATATTTCAGATGTTTATTTTGTTTAATTTTGATGATTACAAATGACAACAAATGAAAATCTCAAATTCATCATATCAGAAAATTAGAATATTACTGAAGACCAATAAAAACAAAGGATTTATAGAAATGTTGGCCAACTGAAAAGTATGAACATGAAAAGTATGAGCATGTACAGCACTCAGTATTTAGTTGGGCCTCCTTTGGCCTGTATTACTGCAGCAATGCGGCGTGGCATGGAGTCGATCAGTCTGTGGCACTGCTCAGGTGTTATGATAGCCCAGGTTGCTCTAATAGTGGCTTTTAGCTCTTCTGAATTGTTGGGTCTGGTGTATTGCATCTTCTTCTTCACAATACCCCATAGATTTTCTATGGGGTTAAGGTCAGGAGAGTTTGCTGGCCAATTAAGAACAGGGATACCATGGTCCTTCAACCAGGTACTGGTAGCTTTGGCACTGTGTGCAGGTGCCAAGTCCTGTTGGAAAATGAAATCTGCATCTCCAAAAAGTTGGTCAGCTGCAGGAAGCATGAAGTGCTCTAAAACTTCCTGGTATGTGGCTGCGTTGACCCTGGACCTCAGAAAACACAATGGACCAACAACAGCAGATGACATGGCACCCCAAACCATCACTGACTGTGGAAACTTTACACTGGACTTCAAGCAACGTGGATGAAGTGCCTCTCTTCTTTTCCTCCAGACTCTGGGACCTTGATTTCCAAAGGAAATGCAAAATTTACTTTCATCAGAGAACATGACTTTGGACCACTCACCAGCAGTCCAGTCCTGTTTCTCTTTAGCCCAGGCAAGACGCTTCTGACGCTGTCTGTGGTTCAAGAGTGGCTTGACACAAGGAATGCGACAGCAGAAACCCATGTCTTTCATACGTCTGTGTGTGGTGGTTCTTGAAGCACTCACTCCAGCTGCAGTCCACTCTTTGTGAATCTCCCCCACATTTTTGAAGGGGTTTTGTTTCACAATCCTCTCCAGGGTGCGGTTATCTCTCTTGCTTGTACACTTTTTTCGACCACATCTTTTCCTTCCCTTCGCCTCTCTATTAATGTGCTTGGACACTGAGCTCTGTGAACAGCCAGCCTCTTTAGCGATGACCTTTTGTGTCTTGCCCTCCTTGTGCAAGGTGTCGATGGTCGTCTTTTGGACAACTGTCAAGTCAGCAGTCTTCCCCATGATTGTGTAGCCTATAGAACTAGACTGAAAGACCATTTAAAGGCTTTTGCAGGTGGTTTGAGTTAATTAGCTGATTAGAGTGTGGCACCAGGGGCCATCAATTTTGAACCTTTTCACAATATTCTAATTTTCTGATATGATGAATTTGAGATTTTCATTTGTTGTCATTTGTAATCATCAAAATTAAACAAAATAAACATCTGAAATATATGAGTTTGTATGTAATGTATGAATATAATATACAAGTTTCACTTTTTAAATGGAATTACTGAAATCAATCTACTTTTTCATGATATTCTAATTTTATGACCAGCACCTGTAGAGCATCAGACTTGGACAGATGTGTTTGTCATTTTTTTTTACACAAGTGTAAAACAAAAATAAATTTCGTAGAACAGCCCTCTGGACATTTTTTTAAGTGCAGCCTTGAAAATGATAATATAAAAACAGTAATATAAACAAATGACTGTAAATTAACAGTTATAACATTTTCAGTTGTTTTTTTTATGTAATACTGAATCCAGAGTGGAATAAAGGTTCCAACCAGCGGGAACCAATCAAATCAAATGTAATGATTTCTACCTTAGTCAGTTAAATAACCTGCTGCTGTCATTCTGCACATCTCTGATGTTGCTGCTATTTTCAAATTACTGTAAAAATGTCCATAGCTGCATATTGGTTATTAATTCTCCAGGTTTATATTGTTAAATTGTTCTATTCAATAAAAGGAGTAGAAAGCTATAAGTAAATCTAATCAATGTATGTATAACAATATATCTCTAATATTCAACAACAAAAAAACTTAGTTAAGCAAATTGTGCAATTAAAAAATAAAATCCTATCAGATTTATAGTCCCCCCCCCCCCCCCCCCTGCAGATCTATTAGAATCTGTCCTTAAATTCCAGCCAAACCCATTTAATCAGTAACGGATTAAAACCTTTAGATAAATCAAACATTACCGCCACATATCTGACTCTATAACCATTAAAACAACTATTTTCATTCATCTCAGACGGAACTATTCACTGACTGGATTATATTAATCTGAACTTCCAATTTTCACCACTGGTCGGCGCCATTTCCCTTTTTCCTCTGATCACAGCTTGCTTGGTCTCGCAATGCATCCTGGGTAAACCAAGGATAGCGAGGATACATCGAACCCGTCCTTCGAATCAGGCAAAAAGAAGGACGCATTTTAAGGACGCATAACGAGGAGCCTTGGAATCCGACCAGACCTCGGCGCCGCGCTATGACGTAATCGTCCGTTGAATCTGACCTTCAGAGGACGCAGCCCAGGAATTGGAACTCAATATTTGTGCTTCATATTTTTAGAAGCAGACCAATACGGTCAGATAAGCAATGTTTGCCTCAGGTGAACAATTTTGATTCATTGATTAATAACCTTTGATTTGAATAAAATATTTATTAGTTTAATTAACAGGATTTAAACTTTGCTCTGAAAAAAAACAAAACTGTTTTCTTTCAAATCTTTTAGGAATTTGAACGATCATAAAAACCTCCTTTGATCCCTTCATTAAAAAGACGCTGATGAAAATAAAAGTTTAGACTGAACTTTAAGTAAAAGGCCACAAAGTGCAGATTCTGAAGTACAGAAATAAAACTTAAAGTTTTATTCCAAAGTTATAAATTATGATTATAGAAAATTTTCCTCATGTTGGATAAGAGAAAATAAAAAATACAGAAAGTTTAATTTTGTTCTACATTCTGATCCAGACTGACGTCCTGAATAGATCTCTGATATTAACGGCATTAAAGCTTCAAACGGCATCAAAATTAAAACATAATTAACATTTAATTTAAATCTAATAAATGTCTCTGAAGTTTCCTTTCATCACGATTTTCTCCGTTTGTTTCCGTATTCCTGTCATTGGGTCAGAGCGGTACCATGAGGAGGTTCCCGGTTCGATCCCCACAGACTGCCACTCTGGGTCCCTGAGCAAGATCTGGTTCCTGAAGCTCAGCTTGAAGTGGAGCCGATGGTTCCCCTTCCATACCTGCCGCTCATAGCGGAGCAGAACCGGTTTTAACCCTAAAGGCAGTAGGTTGGTGCCTGAGAGGTTCTGCTCACTGGGTCTGTGGTTCTGGAAGAGACACATTAGACCCAAACTGGATGAAATCATCTAAAATTCTTCTCCGTTTCCCTCAAGTCCAAGTCCTGGTCTTGATTTAGATCCAGGTCCGGTTTCCGGTCCAGTTTTCAAATCACTCAGAAAAGGTTCTGCTTATTGAACAAACTGGAGTTTTTATTAAATCATCAAAGTTTCTGTAAAATCGAACAGAACAAAGCAAAGTGATTCTGGGATCGCTCCACCGTGGGTTTGGACCTGCAATGGTTCTGGAGGCTTTGTTCAGTCCAACCGTAGAACCAGGATCCAGAGTTCCAGGAACCTCAGCCGCTCCCATCAGCGGTCAGAGGCCGTCGTCCAGCGGCGCCATCAGCAGCTGCAGCTCCTTGAAGCTGCTGCCATGGCGACCGACCTGCCCCGCCCTGCTCTTCACCAGGTTGCCCAGGTTCTTCAGGTAGCGGCAGCACTCCCGGCACTTCTGGTGTCTGCAAAGAGGAGGTCAGGGGTCAGAGGTGAACACGGAGCCCAACTTCCTGAGAACCGGGCAGGGTGCTGCCCCCTGCTGGCCGCGCTCACCGCTCCTCCCGCGTGATGTCGACTCCGACGGCAGGCGGAGCCTTCAGCGTCTCTGAGATCAGCGTCCAGAAGTGCTTCATGATGAGCTTCAGGGACGTGGAGCCGGTCTGCATGTAGCTGAGGAGGAAACAGAAGCCAAGGTCAGGTTCTGACTCCCAGTCAGGGGGTTCTGGTTTGAACCGGTTCTGATGGGATCTCACCTCTCATATTTACTCTGCAGCAGCTTATCGATCTGAGGGAGGACCATGGTGCACAGGTCCAGCTTCCACAAGGAGCTGAAAAAACAACCCAATCAATTCACAGAAACACAGAAAGCTGGCATGTGCAGCTGGGATCCAATCCAAATTAAATCTGAAATGATTCCATCCTGTTCAATAAATGATCAGTGTTTTTAATTCAGAGTCATTTTCATGTGAATGTGCTTTACTGGAGGCATCCATGTTTGTCAAAGAACACTACTGCCACCTACTGGTTAGTGACATTGTCACGGTGCGGTATCGGCTGTTGATCAAGTCCCAGTGCTGTATCTGGTGTTTGTCACAACGCGCTATTATCCAAGTCATCTTGAAAACATTCTTCTTCCAAATGTTGGCTACATATTACGGGTTTTTTCTCTGGCCAGAAGTTCGATGGCAAATCCTCCCTCTTCAAGTTGGCGATCCAACGACCAACCCGTCCGTGGAGGATCAGGAATCAGAAAGGTGGAATAACTCTTTTTTCCACTTTTACCCGATGTATTCCAGCATCCAGCTGCCATGCACGTGGGCATTGTCAGTTTCACTATAGCTCTGGTGAATTTCAATGGTGAAGTCCTCTGGAAATCTTCAATAATTGTTGTTGATTGCAGATGTGTCTAGTAGTTCCCATTGATTTAGCTTGGAAAGCGGGGAGAATGGCGCTAGGCTTACCGCACCGTGACGTCTCTGCTGGAAGATGGCAGGAGGGAGGGGTTACTATATATGGGCAAAAATGGCCGCTCCCAGACTCAGTGATCACCATGAAAATGTTTTTTATTTTTTACTGATTAACACTGAATTTATTAAATCATGGTGAACTATTAGTTTTAGGTATAAATAATGATCCATTGATTATTCCTGCTGACCGGAGTTCTCCTTTAATGGTTAGCATCGGCACTGATTGGTAACGGTTGGGTTTGGGTTAGCGTCAGGCTGAGGGCATTAGGCCGTAGATCAATGGGAGTCCACTGCTGGTCCTCACTACATGCAGGAAGATGAGAAATGTGTATGTGTACCTGTCTAGCCATCAGAGTGAGGACCAGTTGTTGTAAAGTGAGGACATTTCACCGGTCCTCACAAGCTGTTTTGGTTATCTTAAGTGTTAGCTTAAAGGTTAGCTTAAAGATTAGCTTAAGGTTTAGCTTAAGGGTTAGCTTTAATGTTAGCTTTAGGGTTAGCTTTAGTGTTAGCCTTAGTGTTAGCCTTAGTGTTAGCCTCAGTGTTAGCCTTAGTGTTAGCCTTAGTGTTAGCCTCAGTGTTAGCCTTAGTGTTAGCCTTAGTGTTAGCCTCAGTGTTAGCCTTAGTGTTAGCCTCAGTGTTAGCCTTAGTGTTAGCCTTAGTGTTAGCCTTAGTGTTAGCCTCAGTGTTAGCCTTAGTGTTAGCCTCAGTGTTAGCCTTAGTGTTAGCCTTAGTGTTAGCCTCAGTGTTAGCCTTAGTGTTAGCCTTAGTGTTAGCCTTAGTGTTAGCCTCAGTGTTAGCCTTAGTGTTAGCCTCAGTGTTAGCCTTAGTGTTAGCCTTAGTGTTAGCCTCAGTGTTAGCCTTAGTGTTAGCCTCAGTGTTAGCCTTAGTGTTAGCCTTAGTGTTAGCCTCAGTGTTAGCCTTAGTGTTAGCCTTAGTGTTAGCCTCAGTGTTAGCCTTAGTGTTAGCCTTAGTGTTAGCCTCAGTGTTAGCCTTAGTGTTAGCCTTAGTGTTAGCCTCAGTGTTAGCCTTAGTGTTAGCCTTAGTGTTAGCCTTAGTGTTAGGTCATAGAAAGGGTTGAAAATGACTGAAAATCAATGGAAGTCAACGGCAGTCGACGCATGGTGCTAACTACATATAGCATATAGCTGTGTGTGTGTGTGTGTGGGGGGGGGGGCTCACGGCAGTAGGTTGAGGATGTTCAGGACGTCCACAGTGATGGACAGGTCATTCATGGAGACGGCAGCATCCATGGCGTTCTGTGGAGACAAATGTAATCTGATTACTCCACCGAGGAGCAGGAGTCGTCCATTAATGACCTGCAGCAGATCGCAGCAGCTCACCTTGACGCCCTCGCGGGCCCACGTGGATCGCACCGTCTGCAGGTTCTTGTGGCGGCTGCTCAGGATCACAGACATGGTGTTGTGGCCCTTGCTGATCTGGGACAGAACGTCGTCGTCGCTCAGAGCGCCGCCCTGGTGGCTGGCTGTGGACTGAACACAGAGACGCTTTAAGAAACGGCTGCAGCTTTCAGACCGGAGAGCAGGAAGCAGGAAGCTCACTGGCAGGAAATCGGCCACGTTCAGTCCGAGCGGCTTGTTCCTGATGCCTGGGATCATCCTCTGCTGCTGGACCGCCTGAGGGGGAGGGGCCAGCTGGCTGGAAGGGGCGGGGTTACAAGGCTTTGCACTGGAGTTGACTTTGGGTTCAACCCTCTGAGCAGGAGTGGAGCTGGCGAGGGGCGGAGCCTGGGACAAACAGCATCACATGGTGAATGTGTGGAGCGTGCAGCCCGTTAGCCTGAGCTAAAGCTTTAACCCATCAAACCTGTAGAAGAAGCAATTGCTCCACCTCACTGAGGTTGCTGCGTTCGCTGACTGGCTGCTTGTCCGGAGACGGCGGCATCAGGTCCTTCAGCTGCCGCCCGATGGCCGCCACACCATCTGACAGGAAGAGGAAGCAGCAGCGTCACAAACAGACAGGAAGCCAGTTTCAGAACCAAGCAGGTGGACCTAGCAGCTTTTATTTTGAAGGCCTGTGACACAGCTGCAGCAGATTCATGATCGGGTTAAATTCCCGACTGACTCATAAAAACCGATGTATTACCTATGAAGAAGAAATGAGGCGTCACACGTTCCTACTGATGAAATTCTGTTACAGTCAGACGTTCCCCAACATTTCAACCAATGGTTGGAAAGAGAGTTTTTCCTCTCCACTGTCGCTACAAGCATGCTTAGTGTGAGGGATTGCTGACGAGTCAACGAGTCGATGCAATCAGCTTGTTTTCAGGGAGGAAATCACAATGATTGTGAAAGCCATCTTTAGCCCGCCCACTTGGGGCCCTTCGCCCTGCAGGTGGTCCCGCCCCCCCACTTTAGGAACCCCTGCCCCGCCCCCATCAGGTCACTCTTTATCTGATCACTGAGCGGGTGCTGTGGCCCCCAATGGGCCCCTGACCTGCTGGGATTCAGGAAGACTCACCATCATCAGGAGGAGCAGGAAACGGCTCCGGGATCCTGGGGGGGGTCCGAGCTGGGGAGACAAACACATGCCGTTAGCGGGCTAACGTTCAGGGTTCAGCAGGACGACCAGCATCAGAAACCTGAGCCGCCGTTCCGCCCTCCACCTACAGATGGCGCGCTTCGGCGTGAAGATCTCTTTGTAATCGGCCGCGCAGTGGATCTCTGCCGACGACTGCTCTGCCTCGTCCTCGCTCTGGCTCCGCCTCTCTCCGTCGGGGCTCCGCCTGTCATTGTCGGAGCGCTTCATCCTGATGACATCACAGTGCCCGTGAATAATCGTGCGGATGACATCACCACCCAGGCAGCGTGCTGTGTGCCAACCTGTGGGAGCTGCAGTTGGTGGCGGGACTGTCGTAGTTCCGCCGCAGCGCCGCCGCTCTGGGTTGCGCCGGATCTTGGAGCGGCTTGTTATCCTGGATGATGTCCTGGATCACGGCGGCGGCGCTTTTCTTCACCCTGCTCAGGTCCACCACGTGGGACGATATGCAGGACAGCTGGTGGGACACGCCGATCTGGGCGGGATGGGGCGAGGAGTTTACCGTGGAGCGGTCAGATTACTACATGGTAGAAAAGGGGGAGGAGCTTCGTACCAGCTGCTGGCCGATCACGGCGAGGTCGGACGCCTTCCCCCAGCCAACAGGAACCACGTCGAAGCAGCGGTCGGGCTCCCAGCCGAAGACCCGCAGGGAGTCGGACGCGCCGCTGTAGAGACAGGAACCGTCCGGACTGAACGCCAGGCACCTGTGGTGAGAGGGGGGGGTCAGAGGGGTTGCTATGGAAACATCGGTGGAGGTCAAAGGTCACTAACCTGACCACAGCCGTTTCTCCTTCCAGAGAGCCGACCATGGAGAACTTCTCCAGGTCCCACAGCTTGATGCTCCTGCAGGATTCAGGACAGACATTAGTGACGTTCCTCCGGATCCGGTTCTCCGGATCAGGACCTCCGGATCAGGTTCTCTCCAGTTTGAACCGGTTCTGCCGGTCGGGATTTTCCAGACCAACAGAAGAGGAAGGAGAAGATTCCTGGTTTTCAACATTTGACAAACTTCCAATGGATAAAATCAGTGGATCGGTCCAGCTGTGGGTCACTGCAGATGTTCTGTTCCTCAGAGGTTCTATAGAGGAAAGATGTTCTACTGAGAACGTTGAGGAACCCAGCTGAGGTCTGGGGGGTTCTGGATATTAATCGTTTAAATTTCTTCCTCCCAACTAGATTCTGACCCAGTGACATCACAGCCAGACCAGACATGGAAGGACAGGAAGTCTGTTTGAGGATGAAGACTTTGTGGAAATGATGAAACAAACCGACTAAAGGTTCAATGTGTGCAGAAGGATATATGTTAAAAAGAATCAGTGTGTGAAGTTCTAGTCTACATAGTGTTATATAAATAAAACAGAGAAAAGGAGAAGCTGTGTGGAGAAGTTCTATTATTTACAGTGTTGACTAAAATGAGCAAAATGTGACTAAATGGAAGCTGCTGCTGTTCAGAAGCAGCTTCCATCATCAGAGGAGACCAACACTGAACTTCATGGCCTGAAGTTGCATTCATCTCATCTCTGTGGTGAGACACGGCGGCGGCAGCATCATGATGTGTAGGAGGCTCACATTCCAGCAGGAGACACCGTGTAGAGTTTGGATCAGAGCTGATCATTGGTTAGAGTGGCCTAGTTAAAGTCCAGACCTAGATGTCCTAGATGGGTCAAACCCGTCTGATCTGGAGAAGATCTACTAGAAGGACCGTGATCATTGAAGCTGGAGGAATAACCTGCAGGACTGCAGCCAGAGGAGGTTCTACAGAGTTCTGACCCGGTGAGGCGGAATAGGAAGCGGAGCACATGTTGAAAACCAGGAAGCAAAGTTCTGAGCTTCCTCCTCCTCCTTCAGCTGAACCTGAACTCTAAGCAAACCCATTTCAGGAAGGCTGTGGAAGCGGATCAGACCTGTCGGAGCTGCCGGACGCCAGCAGGTACTCGTTGGGATGGAACTGGACCACGTTGACGGCTGCAGAGTGGGCCTTGAACTCGGTGATGGTTTTCCCCTGAGAAAGATCCCAGAGCTGCAGGAACCAGAGACAGGAACTTTAGAAAGGCCCCTGGCAACAAGCCAAGCCAACCAAGCAATTACCCAGGGCCCCAAGCTGCCGGGGCCCCCAGAAAATGGCTGACCTGGTTATAAACAGCATCTACTGACTAACAGTAATCTTCCCTTAAAGCTGCGTGATCGCCAAATGACTCGCTGCTTTTATGCTCTTGGCGAACAATAGATTCAGACGAGCATCAGAACTAAACCGGTAGAAACATCAGAAATGAAGCATCAGGCGCGTTTTTGCTGCTTTAGCTGTGAACGTAGCATAGCAGCGGCTAGCTTCCAGCCGTGGCGTCCTGCACGAGCATAATTAATTGATAAATAATGAATCAATTAATTAATTAAGAGTCAGATTAGCCTGAATATGTGTAATAGAACATCAGTGGTTCAGCAGCGTCGTTATTCAGTGTGTGAAAGGTCTCTACAGTAGGGTGACCAGACGTCCCCGATTTCCGGGGACTGTCCCCGTTTTGGACCACCTGTCCCCGGCTAAAGCTGTCCCCGGAAATGTCCCCGATTTTACCGAGGCGAAAAATGTTGCGTGTAGACTGTTATTACGGTAGAGCTGTTGCGCGCAAAAATAGGTATTACGGTAGCTGGTTGCGCTGCTGATAACATAAAGATTAGGAACAGAGCGCACCACTAGAAGGGCGGTAATGATCCGTTTGGATGTCAGCTGCCATTAAAACACAAAGAAGAAGAAGAGCGCATCACTTTTAAAACAGAAGAAGAAGAAGTGGAAGTTCGTTTTTTACAACCTGTGGCAACTGATGGGGAGCTACGCTGAGTGATGGTAAGTGTGTTAATCAATTTATTTTATTCTGATCGGGCTGATCTTGTGATAAATGTTTGGTTTGTGTCCAGTTTAAAACAATAATAAAAAGTAAGACAAGACCACGAGTTGAGCATGAGTAAAAGACGCTGGGTTAAAATGTAGCAAAATGATTGAAAACTCCTTGTAAGGCGCTAATCTGGTACGCTGGTTCTCCAGGGATCAACAAGGGTTTGTTTAAAGATGTTTTAGAATGGATAGGTGACCTTTAGTTTATATTTCAGATAGTTATTATAAGTAGAGTTATTTCAATTTTTTTGATGATTTATGGTTGTGATTTATGAGCATAGACTTCCAGTTTTTGGTGTGCTTTTTTACTGCTCAGTTTGGATATATATGAAAGTTCCTTGTGAAAAAATAGGAGTCAGTAACAGGAGAACTGAATAAGACAAGATCTACATGATCTGAGAATGATGGAGGAAGAGATAACCACCTGTTTAATGTCCATTTATTATGTGGTTTTTGCTTGTAGCTCCTAATATTGTGGTAATTAGCATTTTTAGTATTTAGATGAGATATTAATAATAATAAGTTTTCATGTTGCACATCCTAATTTTTTTGGAGGTGATTTTGATTATACAATGTCTCTGTTTTAGAATAATGTAAGATTGATGCTGGAGGAGTGAGGAAGAAGATAGAAAGACAGAAAGGAGATTGAATGAGAGAGGAGGAAACTAGGAACTCTGATAGAAAAAACGGTTGACAAGAAGGGAGAAAAATTTACTTTGAGGAGTAAAGCAGAGAGCAGGAAACATAAGAGGAAGCCTTAATGCACAATACAGAAGCTGTGAAAAGAAGGAAATTATATATGTATATGTTATTGCTGTTTATAATTATGGACTATTCTTGGATTATATACATTGTGTTGATGTTAAGCCTATTCTGCTGTTCAATGGTTAAACTTGTTTAAGATATTTAAAAAGGTTATTTTGCTTTTTACTTGCTATGCCTTCTCTTATATTATTTTACCCAAATTAGCAGGGCCACTGCCTCAGACCCTGTTCAGTTAATATTTCTGTTTCAAACATTTAAAATGTATAATATGTATTAATACAGTTCAAGTGATAAAGCGTTGACATGATTTGAGTGATAAACTAACATATTGAGTGATGTAGTGTACAAAGTATGCTGTGGAACACAGAGTGGCTGTATACTCAGGTTAGTAGGAAAAATGAACCTGCTACTTTGAGACACACAGGCCCCTGATGTGGCTAGGTGACAGTAAGAAACATATATGAACCTTTACCTGCAGGCTTGACTACTACTTGCTTTTTTTTTTTATGTTAATAAAGAAAAAAAATATTTCTTATAGGTATGTACAGTAGATGTAAACAGAATAAGTATTTGTTGCACTTTTTTGAAGAGGTGGGGGAACTCTGTCTCAACAGACAGCCACAGGCATAGAATAAATGTTTGTATTTACTTTTCTAAATTTCTTTTCCTCATGTCACTCTCCCCTTAGGAGGCGGTGGAGCTCTTTGGGCCCGACAAAATTGGAAAGCCCTGCTAATGACCCTTGACCCCTCCGCTCCCACCCCCACCACTTTGCCCCAGCCCAGAGACACAGTTCTAGTTTTCTACTAATAACACTATTCATGTTATTAATCTTAGGATACACTAAACGTTTGGAAAGGCACATTCCTGGCTTTTACACTTGATTTTTGTTGTTTAAATATTAATAAATATGTAAAAATATATGAAACCATTACTGTCCCCATTTCCTAATTTCATCTCAATAAAATGTATTGATTTTTATCCACGAGCAAGAAATGTCCCCAGATTTGATTTCAGAAATCTGGTCACCTTACTCTACAGGCAGTGGCAGATGGCCAGCAGAGGGCGCCAGAGATACCAAACTGCCCCCCCCCACCCCCCCCCCCACAGGGTTCTAATGGATCCTGTGATTTTTTCCAAACATCTTTTCTAGATTAGCTTGTGAGCTTCTGATGACATCAGGACGGTTCCGCCGCGTTCGCTCAGCACTGACCTTCACCGTGCAGTCGTCGCTCGCCGAGGCCAGCCACTTCCCGTCCGGACTGAACACCAAACTCCTGATGGCGTCCGTGTGACCCTGGAACCCAAACAGAACCACTGTGAACAGAACCCTGCTTTCTCCCTTCTTCATTTTATTATTTATTCATTTGTTTTTTGGGTGGGCGGTAAATCTTTTTATGCAGACGGGGCATCATGAATACTAAATGAAAATAAAACTGAATAAATCCACAGAAAGTTGATCGTCTGGCAGCGTTTAGGAGGTTCTGGGACGTCAGGCAGATGCTGCATAAATCGCCACGGTGTGACCGGAGCCTAAGATACTCTGGGTTTGAAGGTTTTCCAGGTGGTTCTGGTTCCTTGGTGGAGGAGGACCTTTTGGACCTGACAGGGAACCAATGATACCGAGCCAAAGTTCTGACCTTGTAGCGGAACACGTATCCCTTCCTGCGGACGTCCCACAGCTGGAAGAGAGAGAGGCCATGTTGGGTTAAACTCAGACAGCTCCAGACCCAAACACACAACCAGGAGGCGTACCTTGATGTTGGTGTCCATGGAGCTGGAGGCCATGAAGTTCCCCAGTGGGTGGAAGCCCAGACCCGTCACCCTGGCCTTGTGTCCCATCAGGGTGCGTAGAACTGAGGACAGGAAGCAGCAGAATCAGAACCGAAGCGCCTGCAAACTTTCCTCAGTCTGGTTCCAAACGCTCCGCAGGTCCGATTCAGAAGGTGGGAGAACTTCCCTCCTGAGCGTTCCCAGGTTCTGATTCAGACCCGTTTCCACTGGATGAGGAACAGTTTTCCATGAGCAGGAAGTTCAGACAGAACCAGAACAGGTCTGGGAGAAGAACCCGATCACCTGAGACGGTTCTAGAAACGAGTCTCTGATTTTAGTCACACAGACCTTCCTGAGCAGATCTGGTGGGTTCTGCAGGTTCTGGCTCCTTAGAACCTTCTAGTAGAGCGTTCTGGTTTAGGGCCCTGTTCTGGTTCCAGTTCTCTCCAGAACAAACGGGTCTGGAGGACAATCAGGAGTCTCCTTCCAACTGAAGGACGGTTCTCTGATTAGCGACCAGCTACTGGAGGAATCAGTGGGATCCTGATCCAGTTAGAGTCAGGTTCCCTGGTTCTGGTTCATGAAAAGGACAGAACCAGAACCAAAGGTCAGGGTCTGGCTGCAGAGCTGCATGTTAGCCCAACAGCTAATGGCTGAAACCGTCCCATTTCTTTTAGGCTCCAACATTCTGGATCATTTTAAAGATAAAAAGATGAGAATATGTTAACAGACACGTTTTTAAACCCAGCTTAGTGAGTCAGTAACAGCTGGATCGGTCACATGACTTCCTGGAAACCAGACGCGCAGCGATGCAGCTCTATGGGCGCCACGCCGCCCCCATGCAGCGCCCATAATGGACCATCACTGGCGGCTGGTTTCCAGCTCAACTCAGACACCAAATGAGGTACGGCGAAAAAAGGGAGCGAGCAGAGGAGAGCCGCAGTTCAGGATTTGGCCACCGGTGGCAGTATGATTAGAAAACTCCTAAACATAAGAATGATAAAAATAATAATAATAAACTTTATTGATCCACTGGAGAAATTGACCTCTGCATTTAGCCCCTCCCCTTGGGGAGCAGTGGGCTGCCACAGTGCGGCGCCCGGGGAGCAGGGTGGGGTTAGGGGTCTTGCTCAGGGACCCAGAGTGGCAGGCTGTGGGAGCGGGACTCGAACTCAGAACCTCAGGATTCCCATCTCTATGCCCTGAACACTGGGGACGTTTACTAAGGTAAAGGACGGGGTCCGCTGGACCAGGACCAGACTTTGGTCTCCTTACAGCCTGGAGGACAGCCTGGGGGACAGCCTGGAGGACAGAATGGGGGACAGGCTGCAGGACAGCCTGGAGGACAGCCTGGAGGACAGGCTGGGGGACAGCCTGGGGGACAGCCTGGAGGACAGGCTGGAGGACAGGCTGGGGGACAGCCTGGAGGACAGGCTGGGGGACAGGCTGGGGGACAGCCTGGAGGACAGCCTGGAGGACAGGCTGGGGGACAGGCTGGGGGACAGGCTGGGGGACAGGCTGCAGGACAGCCTGGAGGACAGGCTGGAGGACAGGCTGGAGGACAGGCTGGGGGACATTCTGGAGGACAGGACAGGCTGGGGGACAGCAGGGAGGACAGGCTGGGGGACAGGACAGGCTGGGGGACAGCCTGGAGGACAGGCTGCAGGACAGCCTGGAGGACAGGCTGGGGGACAGCCTGGGGGACAGGCGTGGGGACAGGCTTGGGGACAGGCTGCAGGACAGCCTGGAGGACAGGCTAGGGTACAGCCTGGGGGACAGCCTGGAGGACAGGCTGGAGAACAGGCTGGAGGACAGCCTGGGGGACAGCCTGGGGGACAGCCTGGAGGACAGCCTGGAGGACAGGCTAGGGGACAGCCTGGGGGACAGCCTGGAGGACAGGCTGAGTGACAGGCTTGGGGACAGGCTGGAGGACAGCCTGGAGGACAGGCTGGAGGACAGCCTGGAGGACAGGCTGGGGGACAGGCTGCAGGACAGCCTGGAGGACAGGCTGGGGGACAGCCTGGGGGACAGGCGTGGGGACAGGCTTGGGGACAGGCTGCAGGACAGCCTGGAGGACAGGCTAGGGTACAGCCTGGGGGACAGCCTGGAGGACAGGCTGGAGAACAGGCTGGAGGACAGCCTGGGGGACAGCCTGGGGGACAGCCTGGAGGACAGCCTGGAGGACAGGCTAGGGGACAGCCTGGAGGACAGGCTGAGTGACAGGCTTGGGGACAGGCTGCAGGACAGCCTGGAGGACAGGCTGGAGGACAGCCTGGAGGACAGGCTGGAGGACAGCCTGGAGGACAGGCTGGAGGACAGGCTGGAGGACAGGCTTGGGGACAGGCTTGGGGACAGGCTGCAGGACAGCCTGGAGGACAGGCTGGAGGACAGCCTGGAGGACAGGCTGGAGGACAGCCTGGAGGACAGGCTGGAGGACAGCCTGGGGGACAGGCGTGGGGACAGGCTTGGGGACAGGCTGCAGGACAGCCTGGAGGACAGGCTAGGGTACAGCCTGGGGGACAGCCTGGAGGACAGGCTGGAGAACAGGCTGGAGGACAGCCTGGGGGACAGCCTGGGGGACAGCCTGGAGGACAGCCTGGAGGACAGGCTAGGGGACAGCCTGGAGGACAGGCTGAGTGACAGGCTTGGGGACAGGCTGCAGGACAGCCTGGAGGACAGGCTGGAGGACAGCCTGGAGGACAGGCTGGAGGACAGCCTGGAGGACAGGCTGGAGGACAGCCTGGAGGACAGGCTAGGGGACAGCCTGGGGGACAGCCTGGAGGACAGGCTGAGTGACAGGCTTGGGGACAGGCTGCAGGACAGCCTGGAGGACAGGCTGGGGGACAGGCTGGGGGACAGCCTGGAGGACAGCCTGGAGGACAGCCTGGAGGACAGGCTGGGGGACAGCCTGGAGGACAGCCTGGAGGACAGCCTGGGGTCAGCCTGGGGGACAGGCTGCGTCCCCAAAGAAGTTTCTAGAAGTTTCTGTGATTCTGATGACTGAGCAAAAACCTGTTAATCAGCTTTTTATTAAAATCAGCTGAGCTGGAACCCCCCCCCCCCTGCTGGAGGTCCTCAGAAGGTTAGTAAATATAGCAAACAAACACACAGCTTACCCTTAGCCGCCTCCAGGTCCCAGACCCGAATGGATCCAGACTGGGAACCAGCTGCTACCTGCTCCTCAGACACGTTGAACTGGACACACTCCACCGGGTTCTTGTGACCCGTCAGGCTCTGAGACCAAACAGAGAATCGGGTCAGAACCGAGCACCGAGGACGTGAAGAGGTCCGTGTGGAAGCGGTCTCACCATGACACAGTTGGGTTTGTTGACCACCCAGATGTTCACCCTGCAGTCCTCTCCTCCGGTGACCAGCAGGCGGCCCGAGGTCTTCCCCAGAGACAGGCAGGTTCTGGGATGAGCCTCGAACTCCTCTGAGGACAAACAGGAGAGACCAGCGTCAGTCTACGATCCCTCGGAACCAGCAGGAGAGTCGGAATGACGCCCACCGGCTCCCATTTCAGGTAAAACACCTGGAGTCTAAACCAGAACCCCTCCTGAATGAAAATCCAGAAGCTCCGTCCACACGGAACCAGAACTTCCTCTGTGGACAAACATCTACTCACGCAGGCGCCATGAGATCTTGGTGGTGCTGGCAGCAGCCATACGGCTCACGGTGGGACAAACTGGACCAGCGTGGAGCTTCAGTCAGGAGGATCTCTACATCCTGCAGGAGGAAAGAGTCCAGATTACAGACGGAACCAGCAGAAAGTTCAGCTTAAGAAGGTTAGAAGGTTCTACAAAGAATCCGGTCCAGCAGACTCATCAATCTGTTGATTAGTTTTTAAACGGAGAGCCAGAGGTTCCTTAAAGATCTTTTTAACTAAATTAAACCAGAATAAACTAAAACTTTTCCACTCAGAGTTCTGGATAGAAAAGATTGACCGACGGAAAATTAGTTTTTATCTTGGATGCAAAATGTTTATATATTTTTTTACAATGTTGGTATAATTCCTGCTGGAAGTGAGTCGCTCTGTCAGCCATTATTCTCCCCTCTGGGGCAGCTGGTTCTGACCACAGCTCTATAGAAGCACTGCTGGGAACTGGTCCCTCATCCTGGGAACTGGTCCCTCATCCTGGGAACTGGTCCCTCATCCTGGGAACTGGTCCCTCATCCTGGGAACTGGTCCCTCATCCTGGTTAACTGGTCCCTCATCCTGGGAACTGGTCCCTCATCCTGGTTAACTGGTCCCTCATCCTGGGAACTGGTCCCTCATCCTGGTTAACTGGTCCCTCATCCTGGGAACTGGTCCCTCATCCTGGGAACTGGTCCCTCATCCTGGGAACTGGTCCCTCATCCTGGTTAACTGGTCCCTCATCCTGGGAACTGGTCCCTCATCCTGGGAACTGGTCCCTCATCCTGGGAACTGGTCCCTCATCCTGGGAACTGGTCCCTCATCCTGGTTAACTGGTCCCTCATCCTGGGAACTGGTCCCTCATCCTGGTTAACTGGTCCCTCATCCTGGGAACTGGTCCCTCATCCTGGTTAACTGGTCCCTCATCCTGGGAACTGGTCCCTCATCCTGGGAACTGGTCCCTCATCCTGGGAACTGGTCCCTCATCCTGGGAACTGGTCCCTCATCCTGGGAACTGGTCCCTCATCCTGGTTAACTGGTCCCTCATCCTGGGAACTGGTCCCTCATCCTGGGAACTGGTCCCTCATCCTGGTTAACTGGTCCCTCATCCTGGGAACTGGTCCCTCATCCTGGGAACTGGTCCCTCATCCTGGGAACTGGTCCCTCATCCTGGGAACTGGTCCCTCATCCTGGGAACTGGTCCCTCATCCTGGTTAACTGGTCCCTCATCCTGGGAACTGGTCCCTCATCCTGGGAACTGGTCCCTCATCCTGGTTAACTGGTCCCTCATCCTGGGAACTGGTCCCTCATCCTGGGAACTGGTCCCTCATCCTGGTTAACTGGTCCCTCATCCTGGGAACTGGTCCCTCATCCTGGGAACTGGTCCCTCATCCTGGGAACTGGTCCCTCATCCTGGTTAACTGGTCCCTCATCCTGGGAACTGGTCCCTCATCCTGGGAACTGGTCCCTCATCCTGGGAACTGGTCCCTCATCCTGGTTAACTGGTCCCTCATCCTGGGAACTGGTCCCTCATCCTGGGAACTGGTCCCTCATCCTGGGAACTGGTCCCTCATCCTGGTTAACTGGTCCCTCATCCTGGGAACTGGTCCCTCATCCTGGGAACTGGTCCCTCATCCTGGGAACTGGTCCCTCATCCTGGTTAACTGGTCCCTCATCCTGGGAACTGGTCCCTCATCCTGGGAACTGGTCCCTCATCCTGGGAACTGGTCCCTCATCCTGGTTAACTGGTCCCTCATCCTGGGAACTGGTCCCTCATCCTGGGAACTGGTCCCTCATCCTGGTTAACTGGTCCCTCATCCTGGGAACTGGTCCCTCATCCTGGGAACTGGTCCCTCATCCTGGTTAACTGGTCCCTCATCCTGGGAACTGGTCCCTCATCCTGGGAACTGGTCCCTCATCCTGGGAACTGGTCCCTCATCCTGGTTAACTGGTCCCTCATCCTGGGAACTGGTCCCTCATCCTGGGAACTGGTCCCTCATCCTGGTTAACTGGTCCCTCATCCTGGGAACTGGTCCCTCATCCTGGTTAACTGGTCCCTCATCCTGGGAACTGGTCCCTCATCCTGGGAACTGGTCCCTCATCCTGGGAACTGGTCCCTCATCCTGGTTAACTGGTCCCTCATCCTGGGAACTGGTCCCTCATCCTGGGAACTGGTCCCTCATCCTGGGAACTGGTCCCTCATCCTGGTTAACTGGTCCCTCATCCTGGGAACTGGTCCCTCATCCTGGTTAACTGGTCCCTCATCCTGGGAACTGGTCCCTCATCCTGGTTAACTGGTCCCTCATCCTGGGAACTGGTCCCTCATCCTGGTTAACTGGTCCCTCATCCTGGTTAACTGGTCCCTCATCCTGGGAACTGGTCCCTCATCCTGGTTAACTGGTCCCTCATCCTGGTTAACTGGTCCCTCATCCTGGGAACTGGTCCCTCATCCTGGGAACTGGTCCCTCATCCTGGTTAACTGGTCCCTCATCCTGGGAACTGGTCCCTCATCCTGGGAACTGGTCCCTCATCCTGGGAACTGGTCCCTCATCCTGGTTAACTGGTCCCTCATCCTGGGAACTGGTCCCTCATCCTGGGAACTGGTCCCTCATCCTGGGAACTGGTCCCTCATCCTGGTTAACTGGTCCCTCATCCTGGGAACTGGTCCCTCATCCTGGGAACTGGTCCCTCATCCTGGGAACTGGTCCCTCATCCTGGTTAACTGGTCCCTCATCCTGGGAACTGGTCCCTCATCCTGGGAACTGGTCCCTCATCCTGGGAACTGGTCCCTCATCCTGGTTAACTGGTCCCTCATCCTGGGAACTGGTCCCTCATCCTGGGAACTGGTCCCTCATCCTGGTTAACTGGTCCCTCATCCTGGGAACTGGTCCCTCATCCTGGTTAACTGGTCCCTCATCCTGGGAACTGGTCCCTCATCCTGGGAACTGGTCCCTCATCCTGGGAACTGGTCCCTCATCCTGGTTAACTGGTCCCTCATCCTGGGAACTGGTCCCTCATCCTGGGAACTGGTCCCTCATCCTGGTTAACTGGTCCCTCATCCTGGGAACTGGTCCCTCATCCTGGTTAACTGGTCCCTCATCCTGGGAACTGGTCCCTCATCCTGGGAACTGGTCCCTCATCCTGGGAACTGGTCCCTCATCCTGGTTAACTGGTCCCTCATCCTGGGAACTGGTCCCTCATCCTGGGAACTGGTCCCTCATCCTGGGAACTGGTCCCTCATCCTGGTTAACTGGTCCCTCATCCTGGGAACTGGTCCCTCATCCTGGTTAACTGGTCCCTCATCCTGGGAACTGGTCCCTCATCCTGGTTAACTGGTCCCTCATCCTGGGAACTGGTCCCTCATCCTGGTTAACTGGTCCCTCATCCTGGTTAACTGGTCCCTCATCCTGGGAACTGGTCCCTCATCCTGGTTAACTGGTCCCTCATCCTGGTTAACTGGTCCCTCATCCTGGGAACTGGTCCCTCATCCTGGGAACTGGTCCCTCATCCTGGGAACTGGTCCCTCATCCTGGTTAACTGGTCCCTCATCCTGGTTAACTGGTCCCTCATCCTGGGAACTGGTCCCTCATCCTGGTTAACTGGTCCCTCATCCTGGTTAACTGGTCCCTCATCCTGGGAACTGGTCCCTCATCCTGGTTAACTGGTCCCTCATCCTGGGAACTGGTCCCTCATCCTGGTTAACTGGTCCCTCATCCTGGTTAACTGGTCCCTCATCCTGGGAACTGGTCCCTCATCCTGCTGGATCACATGCAGATCATCAGGATGATGGAGGAGACTTTCCTCCAGCAGACTTCCTGGACATAAACAACAGGAAGTCCAACTAATCAGGAGGAGGATCTCTGCTCCCTCAGCAGATGGCTTTAAGCTGAAGGTTCTGGACTTCCAGGACCCTCGGCCTTCCAGGACCTTCGGCCTTCCAGGACCTTCAGCCTTCCAGGACCGTCAGCCTTCCAGGACCATCAGCCTTCCAGGACCTTCAGCCTTCCAGGACCTTCTTCTCTGCCACTGAGGCCGTTGGATCCAAAAGAACCCAGTGATTCAGAACCTGTACCGGTACCGATGGTGGAGTCCTGCGGCTCAGGCAGAGATGCTGCATCCATCGGGCTCTGAGGGCCGGTTTATCCCCGCTAGACTGGACTCTGCAGCGGATAAGACGGACCTACCTGAGCCAGCTGGTTAGCATCTGCTGGTTAGCTTCTGCTGGTTAGCTTCTGCTGGTTAGCTTCTGCTGGTTAGCATCCGGTAGCTAGCAGGTCCAACCGGTCCGGTCTGGTTGAATCCAGCTTAGCAGCCGCTCTTCGTGTCTCCAGGTGGGTCTGAGTCCAGAGGTCTACCTGCTGACAGCCTGTTGAGCTCTGCTGTAGCTTAGCAACCAGACCACATACGTCACTTCCGCTCATTTCACGTCGGTCAACAGAGTTAACTTTAAAATAAAAATGTAAATCAGAAACATACATGTGAAAAATATAAATAACAATAATTGAGTTATAATAATATAACTCAAATTAAATACAATAAATCAGAAAATTAAAGATGAATACCTGAAAACATTAATAACTGAAGAATAAATAAAGGTCTGCTCCTTTTTAGGCCTCTGTCGGTAAAACTTATTAACAATAAAAGAAACATCTGATGTAAAATGAATGAATAAGTGAAGGTTTGAAAAAACATATTTATGAAACTATTAGTTAAATCATCATCTGATATACAGACAACTTAAATACTTAAAAAATGTCTCCCGCTTTTTATATATCTCTGGGGTTTTCTTTCTCTTTATATTTTCACATTAATTATGATAAATAATATATTAATGTTTAAAACATGGGAGGACAGGTCAGACATTAACCGGAAATAGCGCAAATCCGATTTCAAAATAAAAGACCTGCTGCGTTCAGGAGCTCCTTTTCCCTAATAAAAGTTTACTAAATGTGCTTTTAAATATAAACTTAGAGTTAAAAGAGTAAGCTCAGTTCTAGAGTAAAACTGCTGAATGTGAGTTAGAGACAGGAGAGTCCCATAGGTTCACAAAATGAATGTTTTAGTTTTATATCATTCATTAGAGCAGATATCAGCAGTATGGCCACTGTTCACTGAGCAATAGAAGTCACCCATTATTTCAGCCAGTAGTCTCTGGTAATAAAAAAAGGGGATGGTAGATTTTGTTGATTATTGTTTCTTTTGAAAGCATACATAGCCTAATGCAGGGGTGTCAAAGTGGTTCCAGAAAGGGCCAGGTGGCTGCAGGTCCTTTCCTTTCCTACATAGTTACCATGGCTATCACTGCCCCTACATAGTTACCATGGCTATTACTACCCCTACATAGTTAGCATGGCTATCGCTGCCCCTACATAGTTAGCATGGCTATCGCTGCCCCTACATAGTTAGCATGGCTATCGCTGCCCCTACACAGTTAGCATGGCTATCGCTGCCCCTACACAGTTAGCATGGCTATCGCTGCCCCTACACAGTTAGCATGGCTATCGCTGCCCCTACATAGTTAGCATGGCTATCACTGCCCCTACATAGTTAGCATGGCTATCGCTGCCCCTACATAGTTAGCATGGCTATCGCTGCCCCTACATAGTTAGCATGGCTATCGCTGCCCCTACACAGTTAGCATGGCTATCGCTGCCCCTACATAGTTAGCATGGCTATTACTGCCCCTACATAGTTAGCATGGCTATTACTACCCCTACATAGTTAGCATGGCTATCACTGCCCCTACATAGTTAGCATGGCTATCGCTGCCCCTACACAGTTAGCATGGCTATCGCTGCCCCTACATAGTTAGCATGGCTTTTGCTGCCCCTACATAGTTAGCATGGCTATTACTGGCCCTACATAGTTAGCATGGCTATCACTACCCCTACATAGTTAGCATGGCTATCACTGCCCCTACATAGTTAGCATGGCTATCGCTGCCCCTACATAGTTAGCATGGCTATCGCTACCCTTACATAGTTAGCATGGCTATCGCTGCCCCTACATAGTTAGCATGGCTATCGCTGCCCCTACATAGTTAGCATGGCTATCGCTACCCTTACATAGCTAGCATGGCTATCGCTGCCCCTACATAGTTAGCATGGCTATCGCTACCCCTACATAGTTAGCATGGCTATCACTGCCCCTACATAGTTAGCATGGCTATTACTACCCCTACACAGTTAGCATGGCTATCACTACCCCTACATAGTTAGCATGGCTATCGCTGCCCCTACACAGTTAGCATGGCTATTACTACCCCTACATAGTTAGCATGGCTATCACTGCCCCTACATAGTTAGCATGGCTTTTGCTGCCCCTACATAGTTAGCATGGCTATTACTGGCCCTACATAGTTAGCATGGCTATCACTACCCCTACATAGTTAGCATGGCTATCACTGCCCCTACATAGTTAGCATGGCTATCACTGCCCCTACATAGTTAGCATGGCTATCGCTGCCCCTACATAGTTAGCATGGCTATCGCTACCCTTACATAGTTAGCATGGCTATCGCTGCCCCTACATAGTTAGCATGGCTATCGCTGCCCCTACATAGTTAGCATGGCTATCGCTACCCTTACATAGTTAGCATGGCTATCGCTGCCCCTACATAGTTAGCATGGCTATCGCTACCCCTACATAGTTAGCATGGCTATCACTGCCCCTACATAGTTAGCATGGCTATTACTACCCCTACACAGTTAGCATGGCTATCACTACCCCTACATAGTTAGCATGGCTATCGCTGCCCCTACACAGTTAGCATGGCTATCACTGCCCCTACATAGTTAGCATGGCTATCGCTGCCCCTACATAGTTAGCATGGCTATTACTACCCCTACATAGTTAGCATGGCTATCACTGCCCCTACATAGTTAGCATGGCTATCACCGCCCCTACATAGTTAGCATGGCTATCGCTGCCCCTACATAGTTAGCATGGCTATCACCGCCCCTACATAGTTAGCATGGCTATCACTGCCCCTACATAGTTAGCATGGCTATCGCCGCCCCTACATAGTTAGCATGGCTATCGCCGCCGTTACACAGTTAGCATGGCTATCACTGCCCCTACATAGTTAGCATGGCTATCGCTGCCCCTACATAGTTAGCATGGCTATCACTGCCCCTACATAGTTAGCATGGCTATCACTGCCCCTACATAGTTAGCATGGCTATCGCTGCCCCTACATAGTTAGCATGGCTATCACTACCCTTACATAGTTAGCATGGCTATCGCTGCCCCTACATAGTTAGCATGGCTATCGCTGCCCCTACATAGTTAGCATGGCTATCACTACCCCTACATAGTTAGCATGGCTATCACTGCCCCTACATAGTTAGCATGGCTATTACTACCCCTACACAGTTAGCATGGCTATCACTGCCCCTACATAGTTAGCATGGCTATTACTACCCCTACACAGTTAGCATGGCTATCACTGCCCCTACATAGTTAGCATGGCTATTACTACCCCTACACAGTTAGCATGGCTATCACTGCCCCTACATAGTTAGCATGGCTATTACTACCCCTACACAGTTAGCATGGCTATCACTGCCCCTACATAGTTAGCATGGCTATCACTGCCCCTACATAGTTAGCATGGCTATTACTACCCCTACATAGTTAGCATGGCTATTACTACCCCTACATAGTTAGCATGGCTATCACTGCCCCTACATAGTTAGCATGGCTATTACTACCCCTACATAGTTAGCATGGCTATCGCTGCCCCTACACAGTTAGCATGGCTATCGCTGCCCCTACATAGTTAGCATGGCTATCGCTGCCCCTACACAGTAAGCATGGCTATCACTGCCCCTACAGAGTTAGCATGGCTATCGCTGCCCCTACATAGTTAGCATGGCTATTGCTACCCCTACATAGTTAGCATGGCTATCGCTGCCCCTACATAGTTAGCATGGCTATCACTGCCCCTACATAGTTAGCATGGCTATTACTACCCCTACACAGTTAGCATGGCTATCACTGCCCCTACATAGTTAGCATGGCTATTACTACCCCTACACAGTTAGCATGGCTATCACTGCCCCTACATAGTTAGCATGGCTATTACTACCCCTACACAGTTAGCATGTCTATCACTGCCCCTACATAGTTAGCATGGCTAACACTGCCCCTACATAGTTAGCATGGCTATTGCTACCCCTACATAGTTAGCATGGCTAGCGCTGCCCCTACACAGTTAGCATGGCTATCGCTACCCCTACATAGTTAGCATGGCTATTACTACCCCTACATAGTTAGCATGGCTATTACTACCCCTACATAGTTAGCATGGCTATCACTGCCCCTACATAGTTAGCATGGCTATTACTACCCCTACATAGTTAGCATGGCTATCGCTGCCCCTACACAGTTAGCATGGCTATCGCTGCCCCTACATAGTTAGCATGGCTATCGCTGCCCCTACACAGTAAGCATGGCTATCACTGCCCCTACACAGTTAGCATGGCTATCGCTGCCCCTACATAGTTAGCATGGCTATTGCTACCCCTACATAGTTAGCATGGCTATCGCTGCCCCTACATAGTTAGCATGGCTATCACTGCCCCTACATAGTTAGCATGGCTATTACTACCCCTACACAGTTAGCATGGCTATCACTGCCCCTACATAGTTAGCATGGCTATTACTACCCCTACACAGTTAGCATGGCTATCACTGCCCCTACATAGTTAGCATGGCTATTACTACCCCTACACAGTTAGCATGGCTATCACTGCCCCTACATAGTTAGCATGGCTAACACTGCCCCTACATAGTTAGCATGGCTATTGCTACCCCTACATAGTTAGCATGGCTAGCGCTGCCCCTACACAGTTAGCATGGCTATCGCTACCCCTACATAGTTAGCATGGCTATCCCTGCCCCTACATAGTTAGCATGGCTATCGCTGCCCCTACATAGTTAGCATGGCTATCGCTGCCCCTACATAGTTAGCATGGCTATTGCTACCCCTACATAGTTAGCATGGCTATTACTACCCCTACATAGTTAGCATGGCTATCACTGCCCCTACATAGTTAGCATGGCTATTGCTACCCCTACATAGTTAGCATGGCTATCGCTGCCCCTACACAGTTAGCATGGCTATCGCTGCCCCTACATAGTTAGCATGGCTATCGCTGCCCCTACATAGTTAGCATGGCTATCGCTGCCCCTACATAGTTAGCATGGCTATTGCTACCCCTACATAGTTAGCATGGCTAGCGCTGCCCCTACACAGTTAGCATGGCTATCGCTACCCCTACATAGTTAGCATGGCTATCCCTGCCCCTACATAGTTAGCATGGCTATCGCTGCCCCTACATAGTTAGCATGGCTATCGCTGCCCCTACATAGTTAGCATGGCTATTGCTACCCCTACATAGTTAGCATGGCTATTACTACCCCTACATAGTTAGCATGGCTATCACTGCCCCTACATAGTTAGCATGGCTATTGCTACCCCTACATAGTTAGCATGGCTATCGCTGCCCCTACACAGTTAGCATGGCTATCGCTGCCCCTACATAGTTAGCATGGCTATCGCTGCCCCTACATAGTTAGCATGGCTATCGCTGCCCCTACATAGTTAGCATGGCTATTGCTACCCCTACATAGTTAGCATGGCTATTGCTACCCCTACATAGTTAGCATGGCTATCACTACCCCTACATAGTTAGCATGGCTATCGCTGCCCCTACATAGTTAGCATGGCTATCGCTACCCCTACATAGTTAGCATGGCTATCGCTGCCCCTACATAGTTAGCATGGCTATTGCTACCCCTACATAGTTAGCATGGCTATTGCTACCCCTACATAGTTAGCATGGCTATCACTGCCCCTACATAGTTAGCATGGCTATCACTACCCCTACATAGTTAGCATGGCTATCGCTGCCCCTACATAGTTAGCATGGCTATCGCTACCCCTACATAGTTAGCATGGCTATCGCTGCCCCTACATAGTTAGCATGGCTATTGCTACCCCTACATAGTTAGCATGGCTATTGCTACCCCTACATAGTTAGCATGGCTATTGCTACCCCTACATAGTTAGCATGGCTATCACTACCCCTACATAGTTAGCATGGCTATTGCTACCCCTACATAGTTAGCATGGCTATCACTGCCCCTGATCAAACTTTAGATCAGGGCTGCCCAATCTTTATTAAACCAAGATCTACTTTTGAGGTTGATGGCATGCCGATTTATTTATCTTATCACTGTTGCCTGTCATGTCCCGCACTTCATGTCAGTCTGTATATTCTAGAGAGTAAATGTAATTTCTGTTCCCTTGTATGTCTTGTACATATGAAGAAAGTGACAATAAAAGCTGACTTGACTTGAGTTCTACCAGCCAAACCAAGAAATGGCAGTATTTGTTTTTTATTTATAAACAGTCCAACAAACGGGGAAATGATCAATTGTGTCAAAAAATAGGTTTCAAAACCAGAACTCACTCGCTCCCTCACTCACTCACTCACTCGCTCACTCGCTCACTCACTCGCTCACTCACTCGCTCGCTCGCTCGCTCGCTCACTCGCTCACTCCCTCACTCACTCACTCGCTCGCTCGCTCACTCACTCACTCACTCACTCGCTCGCTCACTCGCTCACTCACTCACTCGCTCCCTCACTCACTCACTCACTCGCTCACTCACTCACTCACTCACTCGCTCACTCACTCACTCGCTCACTCACTCACTCACTCGCTCACTCACTCACTCGCTCACTCACTCACTCGCTCCCTCACTCACTCACTCACTCGCTCACTCGCTCGCTCACTCGCTCACTCACTCACTCGCTCCCTCACTCACTCACTCACTCGCTCCCTCACTCACTCACTCACTCGCTCACTCACTCACTCGCTCCCTCACTCACTCACTCACTCGCTCCCTCACTCACTCACTCACTCGCTCACTCACTCACTCACTCGCTCGCTCGCTCACTCACTCACTCACTCGCTCGCTCGCTCACTCGCTCACTCCCTCACTCACTCACTCGCTCGCTCGCTCACTCACTCACTCACTCGCTCGCTCGCTCACTCACTCACTCACTCACTCACTCGCTCACTCACTCACTCACTCGCTCGCTCGCTCACTCGCTCACTCCCTCACTCACTCACTCGCTCGCTCGCTCACTCACTCACTCACTCACTCGCTCGCTCACTCACTCGCTCACTCGCTCACTCGCTCACTCGCTCACTCGCTCACTCGCTCACTCACTCGCTCACTCACTCTAACTATAGAGCAGCCAACATCTCCAGACAAAGGCTGTTCAGTCAAAACATCTAAATAAACCAGTTGATAAACACAGTCCATTAGAGATAAAAAACAACAAACATTAGAACTATAAATTTACAGTCATGTTTATATCACTGCACTTTAAAAAAAGATGAAATTGTCCAGAGAGCTGTTTCCAAACTAAATTTCTTTTTGTTTTACACTTGTGTAAAAAAAAGGCAAATAAAATCAAAGTCTAAGATGACTTGAAAGCAGGAGGAAGGAGAAGGGAAGTCCTCTATTTCAGGATGATAAAGGTCGCTGGGCGTTGGCAGAGAAACTGGCAGATGGATTAAAATTCAACAGGAAACAGATAAAAAAAGGGAAAATACTGAGAACAAACTATGTGGATGTGAAGATGTAACATACAGCAGAATGGGTTGTTGACTTTCAGAAACTCTTTAATTTTGGCAAAAGTCCCAAAATTCTTTCTAAGAATCTGCCGCGGCTCGGCCGCCTGACGTCGGCGTGCAGCAGCTGATCAGTGCGGTGTGCTCCTGCCTCCTCCAGCTGGGCGGAATAAACGGGAAAGTTTCAGCTTGAACAGAGCAACCAACCCAGCAGAGCGTCCAACCATAGATGGAGCCCCATCATTTCTGATAGATGTCATTATCTCTGCAGATTGCTCTTCGCGCTTCAGAGTCCCTGGTAACCTAGCAACCGTGGCACTTCGCTCTCAATCTGCAGGTTTACTAGTGGTTCCTAGAATTTCTAAAAGTAGACTGGGAGGCAGATCTTTTAGTTCTCAGGCTCCTCTCCTGTGGAACCAACTACCAGTTTTAGTCCGTGAGGCAGACACCCTGTCTACTTTTAAGGCTAGGCTTAAAACTTTCCTTTTTGATAAAGCTTCTAGTTAGAGTGGCTCAGGTTATCCTGATCTATCTCTATAGTTCTGCTGCTATAGGCTTAGACTGCTGGAGGACATAGGGACCCCTTTTTCATCATTCTGCTTCATTCTATCTCTATTCTCCCACTGCAGAATCTGTTAGTTCAATCTCTAACGTTCTGCTCTCTCTGCTTTTTCTCATAGTAGCTTCATCTGGTCTGTTCCTGTTTGGCTGTGACTCCATCCTGGAGAGAAATATCAGCTGTGCTGCTGCCATCAACACCTTTGTTTCTAGATGTTGGAGCTTGGCCTGTTTTCCAGTGTAGTCCTGTTTCTCTGACTGTGACTAACTGGATGTGCTCTCTTCATCCTCTGACATGGGAGCTGGCTCGGAGCTCGTCTGCCTGGCTGTGTGTTTCCTGGACGGGGCCGCCTGTGGAGCTGGTTGACAGTTGCCTTTTGTATCTATGCTTCTTTTTCTATGTCTGCTTCTGTCTCCTTGAACCCCAGTGGGCCTCAGCAGATGGCCGCTCACACTGAGCCTGGTTCTGCTGGAGGTTTCTTCCTGTTCAAAGGGAGTTTTTCCTCTCCACTGTCGCTACAAGCATGCTTAGTGTGAGGGATTGCTGAAGAGTCAATGAGTCGATGCAATCAGCTGGTTTTCCTTAGATAGAAAACTTTGAATCAATCTGACTGGATGATCTGGTGAACTGTAAAGTGACCTGAGATGACATGATGTGAATTGGAGCTATAGAAATACACTGAATAGAATTTATTTTCTACTTTTCTTTTTATTTTGTTAAAACTTTGTCAATTTGATCAAATGACAGTAAAGTCTGTCTATATCTTAGTCCTGACCTAATGACCCATCAGCAGGGAGCAGAACCTCCAGCAGATACTGAGCTGCAGCCTGATGAGTGAAGAGCTGAGGGAAGGGAGCCCCCTGCTGGAGGATGAAGGGACTGTTTGCTAAGGAGGGAACAGGAAGCGGATCCGCTGCTGAACGCTGAGCGGTTTCCTGCTTCTCTGTCGGTCCATCGCAGCAGCAGCAGCAGCAGCAGCAGGGCGGCTCCAGCAGAGCTTCCTGGACCAGAGCCGGACCCCCAACATGGCGAAGACCTACGACTACCTGTTCAAGCTGCTGCTGATAGGAGACAGCGGCGTGGGGAAGACCTGCCTGCTGTTCCGCTTCAGTGAGGACGCCTTCAACACCACCTTCATCTCCACCATCGGTGAGTGACGCGCCACAGATGCACCCGCTTACCTGTGTCCCACCTGTCCTGGTCAGAAGATGCTGTTCTCCTCAGTGACGTCACTTCCCGTGGTTCTGAACGGGATGCATAGAGCAGATGGTTCTGGAAGATTTTCCGAACCGGATTCGGTTTGCTGCAGCAGAACCAAATGAGGGCCGAACCTCCAGCCAGAACCGATTATTCAGACCGGATCCTGATGTCGCTACAAGCATGCTTAGTGTGAGGGATTGCTGAAGAGTCAATGAGTCGATGCAATCAGCTGGTTTTCCTTAGATAGAAAACTTTGAATCAATCTGACTGGATGATCTGTTTGATCTGGATCTATAAAGTGACCTGAGATGACATGATAGGAATTAGAGCTATAGAAATAAACTGAATAGAATTTAATTAATGTCAAAGAGACGGATGGGTCCGAAAAACATCACAGCCAGCCATAAATAGACACATCAATAGAAACATCAATAGAACCGTTAATAGAACCATTAATAGAACCATCAATAGAACCATTAATAGATCCATCAGGCCTGCTGCTTTTAAATATTGATTTTATTCATCAGAAGGAAAAACTGTCTTCCAACCATCCAGATCTGGATCGCTGTCAGAACCAGTTAAACAGAACCTGTCTGACAGCTGGAAGTAGGCAGGTGGATCCCATGAACCAGGATGATGAAGTGAACAGAACCAAAGGTTCTGCTTCATTTCTCAGGCTTTGGACTCCATAGAACCACCATCAGAACCATAGAACCACCATCAGAACCATAGAACCACCATCAGAACCATTGTCCACCCTGGGAACATCTGAGCCAGGAGGTTCTAGAAGAACCCAGGAGTTCTGCAGGCCTTGTTACCTGAGTTTGGGTCAGGGTTCTGGGCAGATCTGGACTGGTTTTGGATCAGCGCCAGTCCTGCTTCATGCTTCTAATCTGGTACCATTCGGTTCTCCTTAGGGTGGAGCTTATTCTAGAACGTCAGCTTCTAACCGTAGCATAAAGGGTTAATTATTGAAGAAGCAGAAAATAATCCAGATGATCCTAAAAAGTGTCTTTGGTGATGAGACCAAATCAACCGTTTCAGAACCAGAACTTTCTCCCTACAGTCAGACATGGTGGAGGTGGAGTGATGCTGGTTTGAGACCTTCAGCTGGTCCATAGAATCCCCTTCTGAAATGTTTGGGAGCGGCCTAGTCAAAGTCTGAGATGTTTCAAATGGGTCTGAACCGTAGAACTATAACCTACAGATGAGAAGCGCTTCAGGAAGGCGCCGTTCAGACGGAGACAGGAAACAGCTCAGAGTTTCATTTCCTGCTCAGAGAGGCGAAGTCAGAGCGGAGCAGAACAAACCCGTCTGACTCAAACTGGATCAGACCAGCGAGGGATTCAGCTGACTGGGTCAGTCTGGTTCTGTTAGTTCTAAGGTACAGGAGGGCTGTGACATCACAGATCAATGATGGCGCTGAGAACGAGGCCGCCGCTCTGCTGGGAGCTGATTGGTTCTGCCTTGGTCTCTGTTTCCTGTCAGAGGTGCTTCTGACTGTCCGTCAGGTTCAGTCATGTGAGCTGCGGTGCGGAGGGGGAGGGGTCAACAGGAAACAGGAAGCTCGTCATCAGAGGGAGGAAGTGATGCTTGTTCACATTCGTCCTTTAAAAATAACAAAGAGGGGATTTTTTTCATCACAGAACCACAGAAGAAGCAGCGGTTTTCCTGAACAGAACCTCCACTCCCATTTCTCCCAGTATAAAAAGACCAGTTAGATCAAAGTTCCTACTGTTCAATCAGAGGCTGCCCCCTGCAGGACGGAGGCTGAACCACAACCACTCAGATTTCTCTCTTATGTTTCAGGGATTGATTTTAAGATCCGGACGGTGGAGCTGGACGAGAAGAGGATCAAACTCCAGATCTGGTGAGAGCCGCTCAGGAATAGTTCTGCTTGGTTAAAGAAATAATCAATCGATCATTATTTACACCTGAAACCAAAACGTTTGCAGGGATTTAATGAATTTAGCTTTAATCAGTAAAAAACTAAAAATAATTTTCGTTGTGATCACTGAGTCTGGGAGCGGCCATTTTTGCCCAAATATAGTAACCCCTCCCAGCACTGGGACTTGATCAACAGCCGATACCGCACCGTTATGTCACTAACCAGTAGGTGGCAGTAGTGTTCTTTGACAAACATGGATGCCTCCAGTAAAGCACATTCACATGAAAATTACTCTGAATTAAAAACACTGATCATTTATTGAACAGGATGGAATCATTTCACATTTAAAGAACTTTCAGAAGTTTGGATTCTGAATATGAGCGACTTTTCTTTTAAAGGATCCATTTTGATTTTGGACGAGTTCTTCCTCAAGTCGCCGTTACTGAACCCTAAATAAAATATTTTTTACTCATTCAGTTAATCTTAGGTTTGGTTTCTGTCTGCAGGGACACGGCGGGTCAGGAGCGCTTCAGAACCATCACAACTGCCTATTACAGAGGTGCCATGGTAGGCCACGCCCCCTCACCTTTCACCATTGGTCAGTACTTAGAAGTCACTTCCTGTTTGTTTTGTGGCAGGGCATCATGCTGGTTTATGACATCACTAACGAGAGATCCTTCGACAACATACGGAACTGGATACGCAACATAGAGGAGGTAGGCACCGCCACGGCCACGTCATTACCTTCAGATGATGTCATCAACAGCCTGACCAATCAGGAGACTTGTTTGTTTTCCAGCACGCGTCGGCAGATGTGGAGAAGATGATTCTGGGAAACAAGTGCGACATGAACGACAAGAGACAAGTTTCCAAGGAGAGAGGAGAGAAGGTGGGAGGAGCTTCCTGATCACATGACCACAGATCGATCACATGACCAGGAACTTATTACAGGAAGTGATTACATGTTGGGTTCCATTACGTACTGCGCTGGGCCGAGTCTGACCGTCCGCTCTACATCCCTCCATCACTATAAAGCTATAGTGAACTTTATAGTGAACTCGTTAACTGACCGTTCAGACAGATGATCACTGCTTTTGGCTCCCAGTTGGTCACGTAACTCTGCCTCCCCGCACGGTGCCTGCACCATCTTTATTATTTACCGCTGCTACAACAAATCCTATGATGCTTTGCGAGGAGAGCTCCCACAAAGCAACCTGGGATCCTGCTGGTCTAGTGACCAGGTAGGATCACTAGTTTTCAAGGTGCGACTAGATGTTTGGACACTCATTTAAAAATGGCGTAACCACTATATAGCGCCCTATAGAGCGATTGGAGCGGACGTTCGGACACAGCCATGGAATCTGATAACATGACGGAGGTAAGTGGACGGCGTGTCCTGGACCGGATCAGATGACGTTCCACCATCATCTCTAATGTTTGGTTCTGCTCTCCTCCAGCTGGCCATTGACTACGGGATCAAGTTCCTGGAGACCAGCGCCAAGTCCAGCATCAACGTTGAGGAGGTGAGTCTGGTTCCTACGCAGCCGCTGGGACTGCGGTAGAACATCAGGGTAACTTTCTGGAGGTCTCCTCAGGGCTTCCTCACACTCGCCAGAGACATCATGAGCCGACTCAACAGGAAGATGGTGAGTTGGACCCGTTTCCTGGTTTAAGTTTAGATCTAATACCTAATAAAAGATTGGTTAGATCCATAGTTCTAGATGTTCTGTTCAGGATCTGGATCAGCTTCTGTATTTTTGCTCTCCAGAATGACAGCGGCCCTGCAGGTGGAGGAGGGCAGGTGAAGATCACAGAGTCTCGCTCCAAGAAGAGCCTGTTCAGATGCCTGCTGCTGTAGGCGGAGCCTCCTGCTGCCGACCAATCATCTCTGGACTCTTGAAGAGACTTAATTGGCTCCTCCTTCGGTTCCGAAGGGGGAGGGTCTTGATCCAACAGAAGCTCTTCGGTAGCAGAACTGGTCTCATCAGTCGGGCTTCACGGATGGTCAACAGAGCGCGCTCAGTTCATCTTTTTCTACAATTATTTTCTTTTAATTCAGCTGCAGAACATTTGGGAGGAGAGAGTCGCCAGGAGGTTCCAGAACCCTGGAGGTTCCAGAACCCTGGAGGTTCTCCCCTAGAGGTTCCAGAACCCTGGAGGTTCTCCCATAGAGGTTCCAGAACCCTGGAGGATCTCCCCTAGAGGTTCCAGAACCCTGGAGGTTCTCCCATAGAGGTTCCAGAACCCTGGAGGTTCTCCCCTAGAGGTTCCAGAACCCTGGAGGTTCTCCCCTAGAGGTTCCAGAACCCTGGAGGTTCCAGAACCCTGGAGCTTCTCCCCCAGAGGTTCCAGAACCCTGGAGGTTCTCCCCTAGAGGTTCCAGAACCCTGGAGGTTCTCCCCCAGAGGTTCCAGAACCCTGGAGGTTCCAGAACCCTGGAGCTTCTCCCCCAGAGGTTCCAGAACCCTGGAGGTTCTCCCCTAGAGGTTCCAGAACCCTGGAGGTTCTCCCCCAGAGGTTCCAGAACCCTGGAGGTTCTCCCCCAGAGGTTCCAGAACCCTTGAGGTTCCAGAAACCTGGAGGTTCCAGAACCCTGGAGGTTCTCCCCAGGAGGTTCCAGAACCCTGGAGGTTCTCCCCTAGAGGTTCCAGAACCCTGGAGGTTCCAGAACCCTTGAGGTTCCAGAAACCTGGAGGTTCCAGAACCCTGGAGGTTCTCCCCTAGAGGTTCCAGAACCCTGGAGGTTCTCCCCTAGAGGTTCCAGAACCCTGGAGGTTCCAGAACCCTGGAGCTTCTCCCCCAGAGGTTCCAGAACCCTGGAGGTTCTCCCCTAGAGGTTCCAGAACCCTGGAGGTTCTCCCCCAGAGGTTCCAGAACCCTGGAGGTTCTCCCCCAGAGGTTCCAGAACCCTTGAGGTTCCAGAAACCTGGAGGTTCCAGAACCCTGGAGGTTCTCCCCCGGAGGTTCCAGAACCCTGGAGGTTCTCCCCCAGAGGTCCCAGAACCCAGGAAGTTCCAGAACCCTGGAGGTTCTCCCCCGGAGGTTCCAGAACCCTGGAGGTTCTCCCCCAGAGGTTCCAGAACCCTGGAGGTTCTCCCCCAGAGGTTCCAGAACCCAGGAGGTTCCAGAACCCTGGAGGTTCTCCTCCAGAGGTTCTCCCCCAGAGGTTCCAGAACCCTGGAGGTTCTCCTCCAGAGGTTCCAGAACCCAGGAGGTTCCAGAACCCTGGAGGTTCTCCTCCAGAGGTTCTCCCCCAGAGGTTCCAGAACCCTGGAGGTTCTCCCCCAGAGGTTCCACAGAAGAAGTTAGTGCGCCCCACCAATTAAGTGATTTAGTAGGAACTGTTCCCAGAATGCTTTACTTGGTTAGGTCACCCTGCCTCCAGATATCTAGTCATGTCTTCTTTTTGAAGTAAGTTGAGAGAGAAGTTTGGACTGAACTGGAGTTCCTCCAGTTTCAGCCAGTTCACCCACAGCTGTGGCCTTTGACTAGGCCCAGTTAGAGAGGCCTTTGGCTCCCATAAATGTCTGAGTCCAGTTCTGCTTCAGCTTGGATACTTTGTCACCGACATTCTTCAAACTCCTAATAGAACAGATCCTGGAACATCCCCCAACCATGACACTTCCCCCTCCGTGCATCCCAGCCGGTGTGCTGTTTGGTTTAGGTCCCAGAACCTCTAGTCGTCGGGGGTTAAACCTGTTCAGCCTGGTACTGTCTGGACAGACGTGGACCATAAGAACCCGCCAAAGGTCCCGAGATGACATTAACCCTTTAACTGCCAGGCCAAGCAAATGGCTTCCTAATCAACATAAATACAGGCTGGAGGTTCACAAGGCAGTTAAAGGGTTTAGGAAAACCTCTTAGCATCTTAGGGTGAACTTACTTGGACAGTCAGACTGTCATCTGAGCAGCAGAACAGCTGATTTCCTCTTTCTGAAGTCCTGAAGGTCTCTGGGACTAGTCCCAGACCCAGACTAGTCCGGGTGGAAGAGCACCAAGCTAAATGTCTGAGTTCTAAACAGGAGAGCTCCTCCTTAGTGCCGAGTCCTCCTGTCCACCTCAGCAGACACCCAAGGGTAACTCTAAGCTTCTACTGACGGGGATTAAAGGGTTCCAGCCCCCCCCCAGATTTCTGGTTCGTAGCGATTTCCCGTAGGTAAAAAAAAGTCAATAAAATCCCTCAAGTGTTTGTCACGCTGAGCAGCAAAACTGGGTATCAGAAATGTGGTTCATGCAGGCGGTAGATATAGATGCACTTCTGCCATCTTCTGGCCGTTTTTGGTATTGGATTTTCAAAAATCTAATTTCGTCTTCAATCATTAATGCAATCCCTGATCCAAGGCCCCCACACACCCCCGGCATGGCTTGGAAATACACACGTGTGTGTGTGTGTATTTTCAATGTTTCTTGCCAAAAAAGTTCAGGCTCAGGATTTATTTTTTTTGCTTTAATCCCTGTACTGAGCGCGCTCAGATCGCTTTGACCCCCCCCCCCCCTTTATTGGCAAAGATATGCAGCAGACCTGTTAGTTAATTGGTTCTCTACCTGATGACAGCCATGTTGGATCTAAATACAGGTGCTGGTCATAAAATTAGAATATCATGAAAAAGTAGATTGATTTCAGTAATTCCATTTAAAAAGTGAAACTTGTATATTATATTCATACATTACATACAAACTCATATATTTCAGATGTTTATTTTGTTTAATTTTGATGATTACAAATGACAACAAATGAAAATCTCAAATTCATCATATCAGAAAATTAGAATATTACTGAAGACCAATAAAAACAAAGGATTTATAGAAATGTTGGCCAACTGAAAAGTATGAACATGAAAAGTATGAGCATGTACAGCACTCAGTATTTAGTTGGGCCTCCTTTGGCCTGTATTACTGCAGCAATGCGGCGTGGCATGGAGTCGATCAGTCTGTGGCACTGCTCAGGTGTTATGATAGCCCAGGTTGCTCTAATAGTGGCTTTTAGCTCTTCTGAATTGTTGGGTCTGGTGTATTGCATCTTCTTCTTCACAATACCCCATAGATTTTCTATGGGGTTAAGGTCAGGAGAGTTTGCTGGCCAATTAAGAACAGGGATACCATGGTCCTTCAACCAGGTACTGGTAGCTTTGGCACTGTGTGCAGGTGCCAAGTCCTGTTGGAAAATGAAATCTGCATCTCCAAAAAGTTGGTCAGCTGCAGGAAGCATGAAGTGCTCTAAAACTTCCTGGTATGTGGCTGCGTTGACCCTGGACCTCAGAAAACACAATGGACCAACACCAGCAGATGACATGGCACCCCAAACCATCACTGACTGTGGAAACTTTACACTGGACTTCAAGCAACGTGGATGAAGTGCCTCTCTTCTTTTCCTCCAGACTCTGGGACCTTGATTTCCAAAGGAAATGCAAAATTTACTTTCATCAGAGAACATGACTTTGGACCACTCACCAGCAGTCCAGTCCTGTTTCTCTTTAGCCCAGGCAAGACGCTTCTGACGCTGTCTGTGGTTCAAGAGTGGCTTGACACAAGGAATGCGACAGCAGAAACCCATGTCTTTCATACGTCTGTGTGTGGTGGTTCTTGAAGCACTCACTCCAGCTGCAGTCCACTCTTTGTGAATCTCCCCCACATTTTTGAATGGGTTTTGTTTCACAATCCTCTCCAGGGTGCGGTTATCTCTCTTGCTTGTACACTTTTTTCGACCACATCTTTTCCTTCCCTTCGCCTCTCTATTAATGTGCTTGGACACTGAGCTCTGTGAACTAGTGATGGGCTATCTGAAGCCAGGCTTCGAGGCTTGTACCGAGTAATAAGGGGGCGTGTCAATGAAGCCCCGCTTCGAGGCCTGTGTTGTCTTGTTGAAAACCACGTGACTGGCAACAAACCAGGCCTCGCATTGCATTGGTCACGTGACTGCTTCATTTTGCGTGTCGGTTTTCAAAATAAAAGCGCGATGAATCCTGTTTATCGTGGGTTGTAGTAGGTGGTTTAGTATCAGCAGAACTGTTTTCATCAGCAGTGGTTGAAATGGAGCTGTCAAAAAAGAGAAAAACCTCTCATATGTGGGAGTATTATGAGATGACAGATCACAACCTGAAACAGTGAAAAAAGTCCTATTCCTAAATAAAAACAATTAAACCTAAAATCCAGAAATTTCTATATTTTCTTTTGTTTAATCAGGAGATGCATCAGAATCACACATCAAAACCAGACTAAAACCCATTAGAAGAGGCAAACTCTATGTGTAACTTAATATTAAGAATCAGAACTAGAACTCCTAGGAAGAGATGATTTTAAACAAATTCTGTCTTTAAGGAAGCAAGTTTCAAGCTTAAAGTATACAGAGTCTGCAGCAACAGTCACTCAGTTCTCAATACATTAAAGTAACACATATCTTCATTGTCTAATAAGTCCATGACATAAAAGAAAACCACTGATGGTCAAGGATTAGATTGGCTACAAATCATTTTAATCATTAAAACATGATAATTAAATAGGATTCTCCTCTTACTAAACATGAGTTTGATGAAAACTTTGTGACAATATTGCATTTCCTAATATTTGGAAGTATGATCCAACTGAGTAACAAGGCTGTTACAGTTTCACCAGCAGATGTCACTAGTGAGAGATGAATGAAGCATCGAGTAATGAACTTTTTTCAACACTTTGCGTTGGAAAGCTTCATTGCTTCATGAGGCTTCACTTGCCCATCACTACTGTGAACAGCCAGCCTCTTTAGCGATGACCTTTTGTGTCTTGCCCTCCTTGTGCAAGGTGTCGATGGTCGTCTTTTGGACAACTGTCAAGTCAGCAGTCTTCCCCATGATTGTGTAGCCTATAGAACTAGACTGAAAGACCATTTAAAGGCTTTTGCAGGTGGTTTGAGTTAATTAGCTGATTAGAGTGTGGCACCAGGGGCCATCAATTTTGAACCTTTTCACAATATTCTAATTTTCTGATATGATGAATTTGAGATTTTCATTTGTTGTCATTTGTAATCATCAAAATTAAACAAAATAAACATCTGAAATATATGAGTTTGTATGTAATGTATGAATATAATATACAAGTTTCACTTTTTAAATGGAATTACTGAAATCAATCTACTTTTTCATGATATTCTAATTTTATGACCAGCACCTGTATGTGCGCTCTGAATTATTCAGAGGTTTGATGCTTCCTAAAGGAATCCGACCCGTTTGCTCCTCTGCTGCAACAAACATCAACTTATTTCTGATCAGTCAGGTTAAATAAAAGTCCTTTATTTCAGTCTGAACTCTTTAAACTGAACTTTTTCCATTTTGGAAATGTTTGGACGTAGCAGCTTAGAAACAGCTCCAGTTTTCATCCACTGATGAGCTCAAAGTTTCAGCGAAAAACAGGAAATATTTCAGTGGAAAATCAGTTTTAATAAAACTTTCATTGATCTGAAAAGTTCAGGTTTGGATCCAGATTAGCTGCAGATCATGAGGCTGAAACAGGTTGAAGGCGTTTCGTTTTAACCTCGTATTTATTTCTTGTTTTTGTTTTTCAGTTAAACTCAAATCCTTCAGGTCAAACTAATTTAACAGGCGTGAAAAGCAAACCTTGTTAATTTAGGATTAAATCTCTGTAAACCCCCCCCCCCCCCCCCCCCCCCCCCCAACCCATGACCCAGCATCCAATTAATGAAGTCCAGACTTTGACTCGATCTCTCTCGGCGTTTTGTTTATTGTTCTGATCCTGAGCTTCCATCAGCAGCTCTGGAAGCATCAAAGTGGCCCAGATCACCATTCTACCACCACCGTGTCTGACTGTACTGTAGGCAGAATGTTCAGGTTTGGAAATGGGTCCAGGCGTACCGGTCCGTGGACCTAGACTGGGTTCTATGTGTTGCTGTTCTGTTGGCCTACTTCCTTCTGCCAGACAGGTTCTTTTTCAGGGATCTTTGGATTAATGAATTTTGAATTTTTAAAGCAATGGATGTCAATACTTAACAACCAGGTGGTGTTAGAATAGATTTAGTTTCTATTATTTTTTTATTCCTGGTTAAATGAGTTGATGTGAAGGAAAGTTTGCGGGTTTGAAAACTTTCTTCCAGCTCTGCAGCCGAGCCTGAAGAACGCTGCTTCTGACCCTCAGCTGGTCTGAGGGAGCATTCTGGTTTTTTAAGAGTTTAGCTTCTTGTTTATTTTTCTACTGACCTTTCAGAATAAAAGCCTCTAACTGCTGTATATTGAATGATTTGATAATAAAGCTGTTTTTTATTCAGTCTTTTTTTAACGTCTGAATTTGAACCCAGTTTTTTTTCTGCGTTGCTCAAATGTTAGAATAAATAAAGCTTTTTAATTTGAACTTTGCTGCTTTAATTAATGTTAATCTGAGGTATAAAGCTAATTAGCTTAGAGTCCATATAACGGGTTGGGAAGGAACGCTGGTGGAGAAAAACACGGTGAACTTTGAACCCGAAGCTCTAAGAGCTGCAGCTCGTCCCGACTCTGAAGTTCTGGTCCAGAAGTGGATTTCTGTCACAGCATCAGTGGAGGTTTGGAAACCATCAGAACCGCAGGGTGACGGGTCAGAACACTGGATCTCTGTACATTAACTAATAGCGCCCCCATGCGCGCTCACGATTCTACGGAAGCCGGCAGACCAAACCGGAAGGAAGTGCGCATTCAGCGTCTGCTCTGCCGATAATGCAAGCGTAGAAGAAGAAATGTGCTGTTTACCTGTGCAAAGAAAGAAACAACGAAAGAAAAATGTCTGAGGACTTCAGTGTTGAGGAAGAGCATGAGTTCTTTGCCGAGCTGAATGCGCTGGTTTGGTCTGCCGGCTTCCGTAGCGTCGTGAGCGCGCATGGGGGCGCTATTAGGAAATCCTATACACTACTGTTTATGCTCTAAAAACATTCTAAATGACTTCGTTTGGAGTAAATTCTGGACGCTACCCACTCAGGACACTTGGATTACATTGGACGAGCAGTATGGAGGAATATTGACACGTTTTTTGTGGACTTTTATAGACCTTTCTGCCTCGGGCGCCATAGACCTCCATTATTTGAATGTCAGCAGACAGCAAGAAGCCTCCCAGATCTCCAGATGCATTTGAGATATCAAAAAAGTACTCCAGAGTGTTGTTCAGCATGGGGGTGAGTAGAAAATGAAGGCTAATCATGTTTTGGTGTACTATTCCTTTAAGCTGGTTCTGCTGGGTTGATCACCTGGTGAACTCATTTCCTGTCGACCTGCTGCAGTAAAAGCCTTCAAGCAGAACCATCATGGCTTCCGCTGCTGGGACTGAAACCCGACCCGGTTCTAAGAGACTAATGGTGAAACCGGGTCACATGGTTCTTCCGTCTTTAATTCTGGTACATCTCATCATCAGCCGGAGTTCTGATCCAGAACCATGACTGAACCCCTGGTTCTGGTTTCAAGCAGTGGGAAGAACACCAAATGTTCCTGATCTACATACGCAGGTTCTGTAGAACCTTGGATGCAGCGGGTTCGTTCTGAACAAACATCGGACCCGAACGGTTTCATCAAACGTGTTTATTGCTCAGGTTAGAAAAGTGGCAGCAGAACTTATTTACACACATGTACAGTCGGAGCGCCGAGCCGGACCAGAACCAGAACCAGTCCGGTCCTCCTGAAACCAACAAGCTGATCCTGGATCAGCAGCCGGCTGACCTCCAGTCCAAAGTCCTCCTCCTGGAACCACCAGAGCCTGCAGACACACAGAAGCTGCTGTCAGTCACCCTGGTAACCATGGTAACAGCAGTACTAACCACTTCCTGTTTCAGCCTTCAAAATAAAACTTTGAAGCTTGAAAATGAAATTTTAGGCGGCTGGACATGAATTTTTTTTATAAGAAGTTTCGCCTCTAATCCAAGATGCTTCCTCAGTTCTAACCGATGGCGGCGCTGAGATTAACGGGATTAATACTAATAATCTCAGTCAGATGAATAGAGATTAATATGAATAATGTCAGTGAGTTTAATAATCTCATTAATCTAATCATTGTGAAACTGCGACCCTTTTTAAATGCAAAGGTCCATTTGGCCCAATTGATCCAAAGTGTTACACACATTCTCATTCCAGCACTTTCTTTTACAATATTTCAAATTATCAGCGTAATTATCGGGGGGTGGGGTGGGGTTCTGATGTGCAGAATGTTTCAGAAATATTCTGGATACTCAGAACGTTCGGCTGGATTTTTGGAGCAAACAGATTAGTGAACTTAACATAAATAATCTAAAGTTTTTAACCTGATATTTCTATTTTACCATAAAAAACAAGCTTTGGTGGATCATGATGGTATTTTATGTTGTGGGTACATGAGTGTTTTTAAAAAGAGGTGAAGATGATGACAGATTCTTAGTTCTTGGCGTTTTTATGGCGTCCGGTTGGCTTTAGATGATGGTGGCGGTTTAGAGACGTTAAAACAAACCGAATTCAGAATTCAGTTTATTTCCAATTGAAAACATTTCAGAGAAAATTCATCAGATCATCCAGTCAGATTGATTCAAAGTTTTCTATCTAAGGAAAACCAGCTGATTGCATCGACTCATTGACTCTTCAGCAATCCCTCACACTAAGCATGCTTGTAGCGACAGTGGAGAGGAAAACCTCCAGCAGAACCAGGCTCAGTGTGAGCGGCCATCTGCTGAGGCCGACTGGTAAAGGTTTCACTTCCTGTCTGGAGCTTCATTTCCAGCAGGCGTGTCTCATATGGACCCGTCAGTTCCGCCATTTTTTGGCTTCTTTACATCGTTATTCTGAAAGGAGCGATTTCTAGCGACGGCGTTCTGACGGAACCAATCAGTGGATCAGAACCAACCAGCCCGGCTGACCTTTACTGCTGCTGACTCACTGCGGCGTCAGACGATCGTGGCGGCGCCGACGACTGCAGCAGCTTCCTGAGGACAAACACAGAGATGATGTGACCACAGCGCCTCTGATGACATCATCAAGCTCTGACCAATCAGCGGTCTAGTGGACTCACAGCTGAGGTGAGTCTCCTGTGCTGTTCGGTGGAGGAAGATGAGGATGATGAGGAAGTCGGACAGAGGGCGCTGGGTTCCTCCTGCAGCGCCTCTCGGAGGTGGGAGGAGACACAGCCGCTGTCGGAGCCCGTGGAGCCAGAGAGGCAGTGAGAGGAGGAGCCAGAACTTTCTGTGGCTGCAGACAGAGGTACAGGTGAGTTACAGGTGAGTGGCAGGGGGCGGAGCCTCAACGTGCGTGTGTGGTCATACTCATGGAGGGCTGACTGCTGGTCTCATGTTCCTGCTCATCTTCCTCGATGCACGAAGAGCCGAAGGAGGCGGCGGCAGGAGGAGCGGAGGAGGAGGAGGACTGGCTGCAGGAGGAAGAGGAGGTCAGAGAAAGGAGAGGGAGGAGCTGACTGACCTGCAGGTGGGATGCTACCTGAACATGTGCAGGTTGAGCGGGCCCAGCAGGCTGGAGGAGGACGGTCCTGATGCCGGCGGCTCAGCTGGAGCGCCTCTCTTAAAGGGGTGGGCGTGGTCAAAGGCGGAGACGGCGATGGAGGCGCGGGTTCTGGCTCCTGAAGCAAACAGATCCCGGTTAAGCATCTGTGGACCGGCTGCTGAGGCCCGGGTCGGCATCCTGCAGTGGTTACCATGGAAACCTGCACGTACCTCTGGCCTTCATGATGTAGTGAACGGCGCGGTCGCTGATGGCGGCGTCGCTGGGCTGGATGTCCATGAAGGGTTTGCTGCCGACGCCCATCGACAGCAGCTCCTTCAGACGCACCTCTGCACACAGAGAACGGAGGGATGAATGGAGGGACGGACGGACGGAGGGACGCTCCGTCTCTCCCCAGTCTCCACCTTTGTTGCGGGCGGCCTGGGTCCACAGGATCCGGGCGATGTCACCGGTCCAGGCGTGTTTGATGCCTGCCGTCGCAGCCTGCAGGATGAAGGTCTGGTTCTTGGCCGTCCTCCTCCTGAACCAGATCTCGAACCTGAGCCCGTCGTCCCCGCTGGACTCGGTCAGACCCACGTCTGCGGTCTGAAGGAGGACATGCAGCCGTCAGGGGGAGGAGCTCAGAGAGGGAGTCCAACAGAACCGAGCCAAAGTTCTGACCTTGAAGGAGTGTTTGTAGATGAAGACGTCCAGACCTCCCTCCATCTTTTTGGGTTTGCTGAACAGAAGCAGGTCCTCGAAGAGGAAGACGTGACGCTGACATTTCCTCCTGCCGCTGCAGACCGTGAACTCGTCCTGCCGGATCAGTTGACCCTGCTCCTTCAGGTTCACCTGCAGGGAGACCAGAACCGGGTCAGAGACCGGGCCGGCTCATCGCCGCCATCTACTGGAGCATAAAGAACGACACCGAGGAGAAACACTTCAACTCACGTCACAGTCTCTGATGGCGTCCATGGCCAGCAGGTCGTTGCCATGGCGAAGTTGGAATTTGACCATGTTGGTGGCGTCCTGCAGGGCGCTTAGCTCCGCCTCCTGAGCCACGTCCACCTCTTTGATGAGGTCAGAGAGGAGCAGCGCGTATTTACTCATCCTCTGGATGGGCTTCAGCAGGTACGACGACAGGTCCAGTTTATCACCCAGCTGCAGCTGCTTCCTCTGCCAACAGGGGGAGGGGCCAGAGATCAGAGCGGCTCGTCGGGGTCAGAGAGAGAGAGAAGGCCGCCGTACTCACCCTGAAGAAGGCGTGGCCGTGAGCAGCCAGCAGCGAGTCAGATTTGGGTTTGTTCTTGCTGTAAAGGGCGTAGAGGCTGAACTGCTCCTGCTGCTCAGAGGAAACACACAGTTAGAGCGGCGGCCGCTGCTCAGGACGCACCGCGCCCGCAGCGGCCGCCGCAGCGGCGACTGCAGTGATTTACACTAAATTAATTAAATCACTGCGAACGGTTAGTTTAGGTATAAATAACGATCTACTGGTTCATTCTTGGTGACTTTTCCTTTAAAAAAGGCGACAGAAAGACGGAGGAGAAGCAGAACTTTAGGTTCAAACTAAATCTGGAAACATCTGCAGGTTTTAAAGCATAAACTGTGTTTTCTGAATGGATCTAGAATCTGTTCAAGTCTTTAAACAGAACCTGAATCTCCGGTTTACATGGTTCTGTTCTCTACAGAACCATGTAAACCGGACCCAGAACCGCCTGCAGCAGAACTCTGGTTACTGGATCAACATCCATCTCCTACCGGGAGGAAGGAGGAGGGGTGGGGTTAGGGCTCTGCCATCTTTGGTTCTGGTTCTGAGCGATTGGAGCGGGGCGGGTCCAGAGTTAAGACCCAATGAGCAACATCCTGAACGACCAGAACCCTCAGAATCAAAGGGGCTGAACAGAAACGGACTTTTCAGATTTTTGGGGGAGTAAATATTGAAAACCTCCTTCCACTTTGCCGCTCAGCGTCGGCCTCATGGCTTCCTGTAAACTGTGGCGTCAGAAGGCGGCGGCTTACGTGTCTGAGGAAGCAGTGAGGCACCCTCAGCGGGTGCTTCCAGCACGCCTCCAGCTCCTTCAGGAAGAACTGGCTGTGGAAGTCCAGCAGCTTCTCCAGGTTGCCGAAGATGATGGAGCGTTTCCCTCTCAGGTCCTGAGGAAGGTCGGCCCGCTCCATCTCTGGGAAGTAATGGTGGATGATGAAGCGCAGCGAGCGGACGTAGTCGCGCTCCGTGGTCACCATCTCCTCTACGATGTGTCGTAATTTACTGCAGAGAATAGAAGAAGAATCTCCAGCTTGGTTCCAAAAAAGTAAAAATCAATCGACTGGACTTTGTTTCCAAGTTTGAAGACGTTTCTCTGCCATCAGGGAAGATTTTTCATTTCAAAATGTCAGAAATAGAGTTTAGTTCCAGGTTTAGTTCCAGGTCTAGTTCCAGGTCTAGTTCCAGGTTTAGTTCCAGGTTTAGTTCCAGGTGTAGTTCCAGGTTTAGTTCCAGGTTTATAAAGCGGAAAAAACACCAAGACTAGTTTTGACTTAGAAAACAAGCAGATTGAACCAGAAGAAAAAGGTTCTTTGTTGCTGCCCCCCCCCATCTCCTCTCTAACCACTGTCTTCTTTTGTCCATCAGGTGTAGATGCAGCGCAGAGTCTTGTCCAGAGGGGGGCGCTCTGCTGTGTTGCTCTGCTCTATAAACCTGGAACTAAACGCTGTTTCTGATATTTTGAATTTAAAAATCTTCCTGGATGGAAGAGAAACGTCTCTAAGTTTATTGGATTGATTGAACTTTTTAGGACCGACTGGATGACTGAGAAGCAGACATGGGAGTCAACAAGTCATCTCCATGTCATGGATTGGTTCTATTCAGCCACTGAAGCAGGTGAGTCCAATCTTCACCTGTGCAGGTTGGACTCACCTGGTTAACTGGCTGGTAGATTAAAAACATGACATGGAGACGACTTGTTGACTCCCATGTCTGCTGAGAATCTTCAGCAGCGTTTCAGGATCTGAACGTTTATCTGGATCCGTTTGGATCAGCTGGACATGTGACCAGAACCTCAGAGGAGGAGAAGGAAGCATGATGATGATGATGACTCACCTTCCTCGGGGGCGGCCGTCTCCTGCCGGGGTCCCCGGTGTCTCCGGGCTCCGAGGGCCCGCCCAGCCAGGAACCGGCGTTCTGGGACACAGGGTCCGATCGGCCGCCTCGGTGCTGCTGACCTCCAGGCCGCGGATGAACACGCCCGTGTTCCCTCGGCGCGGCGGCTCGCTGAGGGTCCGTGGATTGGCGCCGCACCGGGACATGTCAGAAGTTAGCGACGGGGAGTCGAAGCTCTGCGTCTTCCTCAGCTGCTGCCTCCTAGAGGAGGAGGAGGAGGAGGAGGAGGGAGGGAAGCTGGGGGAGGAGGGGGAGGTGAACCTGGGGGAGGAGTGGTTGGCGATGGGGGAGCAGACGTCCCGCCGCTCTGACTCCTCGTAGGTGGAGGAGCTTCGGAGCAGATAGCGATAGAAAGGTTTTCTCTGGGGGGCGGGTGGAGAGGGGGAGGCGCCGGGCTCCTCTCCGGAGGAGGTCTCCAGAATCCCCCACAGCCCTGACTTCCTGGAGGAGGCGGAGCTTGTGCTGACAACAGAGTTGGAGCGGTGCCTGTGGGCGGAGTCTCGTGTGCTGACCGCCGCCTCCATCTTCCTGTCAAACATCTTCTTGGCCTCCTGACACTTGGACCAGGCGAAGCTCCACTGGCGGAGGCCGCTCTCGCCCCGCAGCTCGCCTGCTTCCGCCTTCATCTTCTGGAAACGGCTCTCTGGGATTGGTGGGTGATTGGACTGGTAGTCTTCCAGGAAGCCAATCACAGCGCGGCATTTGTCTGGCAGCATGCAGTCCTCCATGGAGAGTCCAGCCAGCTGACGCATTCCCTCCAACGCCCAGCCATAGGCCTGCAGAGAGAGAGAGGAGGGTCACATGACATCAGGCTCCGCCCCCCAGCCACGTTTGGTAACTGAACATCGACAGACTTCCAAAATGTGTTAAACGGCAGGTTTTCAAACACTAAGCAGAAGCGAGGTCTAAGTGACGCGATACAACGCAGCTGACATCTTGAGCTCTGGAGATGCTAGCTGTCTATTGGCTGCTTCTTCCAAGCAGGTGAGCAGATCCACACCTGTGCAGATTAGCTTCACCCCCCCCCGCCCCCCCAGATTGACACAATATCCTGCATTTGGCTGAGAAACCTAAATTTATTAGCAGCAATGTCCAACTAGAGCAGATAGAGGATCTTACTTTATTAAGAACATAATGGGAGCTACGTTTAAAATAAACGGCTTTAAATCTGCGACCTGTGAAGTTTATTTTATAAAGAGAGAGAGTTATAAACCTTTACTGTCTCTCACTCTTTAAAGTTCAAAGAGCATCTTTATTTCACTTCCTTCTGAACTATTATAGGTAAGGTGTTCTGATTTTGAAATGTATATATACATACATGCATATACATATATATATATATATATGGATGGATCTCTCTGTGTGTGCTGTACGTTAACCCCCACCTACCCAACTGACAGACGGAATCTCTCTATCCATCAGCCATTCTCATCCCTCCCTCTGTCATGACGCGGCGCGTAGAGTCCTATCATGAAACAAAGCTTTATTGTGCGACCTGAGTAACGCGCAGTAACGGGGTGTCGGCAATAGTAACTGCATTATAGTCAAAGTAATTAGTTAGATTACTCGTCACTAATAAAAGGTAACGGCGTCAGTAACCCTAACCCATCACTGTTAGTCACGAGCCAATCAGAAGCCGAGAAGGTCCGGGTCGATTCTGGAATCTCTGGGATCATCAGAAACCTTTAGCTTCTGGTCAGTTCTGACCAGACGGTCACCCAGAAACCAGGAAGCTTCAGGTCAAGCCTGACCTCAGAACCGAAGGAGCAGTTGGACCTCCTTCCCACCTCCTCCTCCTCCTCCCCAGAGCTCTGTCAAATGGTTTCCAATGACTGGCCTGAGACCAGTGTGTCCTGGTTTTCCTGACTGTGAGGACAGCAGCAGGAGACAGTTTACCACAGCGTGAGACGTAACGGGCCCAGACAGCGGTGACCGGGTCAGCGCTCTGCAGACCGATGAGCTGCTGATGTGTCCCGACTGCAGCAGCTGCTCCGTTCCCACACAAACACACACTCTGCTGTGTTCTCATGACATATGGGGACATTTGATTAACTAGCATTCTTTGTACACGGCTAACCCAGACCCTGACCCTCCCTACTAACCATCATATACCTGACCCTCCCTATTAACCACCTATTAACCGTCATATACCTGACCCTACCTATTAACCATCATATACCTGACCCTCCCTACTAACCATCATATACCTGACCCTCCCTACCAACCATCATATACCTGACCCTCCCTATTAACCACCTATTAACCGTCATATACCTGACCCTCCCTACTAACCATCATATACCTGACCCTCCCTACTAACCATCATATACCTGACCCTCCCTATTAACCACCTATTAACCGTCATATACCTAACCCTACCTATTAACCATCATATACCTGACCCTCCCTACTAACCATCATATTCCTGACCCTCCCTACTAACCATCATATACCTGACCCTCCCTACTAACCATCATATTCCTGACCCTCCCTACTAACCATCATATACCTGACCATCCCTACTAACCATCATATTCCTGACCCTCCCTACTAACCATCATATACCTGACCCTCCCTACTAACCATCATATACCTGACCCTCCCTACTAACCATCATATACCTGACCCTACCTATTAACCATCATATACCTGACCCTCCCTATTAACCATCATATACCTGACCCTCCCTACTAACCGTCATATACCTGACCCTGCCTATTAACCGTCATATATCTGACCCTCCCTACTAACCGTCATATACCTGACCCTCCCTACTAACCGTCATATACCTGACCCTCCCTATTAACCGTCATATACCTGACCCTCCCTACTAACCGTCATATTCTTGACCCTCCCTACTAACCATCATATACCTGACCCTCCCTATTAACCATCATATACCTGACCCTCCCTACTAACCATCATATACCTGACCCTCCCTACTAACCATCATATACCTGACCCTCCCTATTAACCATCATATACCTGACCCTCTCTACTAACCATCATATACCTGACCCTCCCTATTAACCATCATATACCTGACCCTCCCTACTAACCATCATATACCTGACCCTCCCTATTAACCATCATATATCTAACCCTGACCCTACCTATTAACCATCATATACCTGACCCTCCCTATTAACCATCATATATCTAACCCTGACCCTACCTATTAACCATCATATATCTAACCCTGACCCTACCTATTAACCATCATATATCTAACCCTGACCCTACCTATTAACCATCATATATCTAACACTGACCCTACCTATTAACCATCATATATCTAACACTGACCCTACCTATTAACCATCATATATCTAACCCTGACCCTACCTATTAACCATCATATACCTGACCCTGCCTATTAACCATCATATATCTGACCCTACCTATTAACCATCATATACCTGACCCTATTAACCATCATATACCTGACCCTCCCTATTAACCATCATATACCTGACCCTCCCTATTAACCATCATATACCTGACCCTACCTATTAACCACCTATTAACCATCATATACCTGACCCTACCTATTAACCACCTATTAACCATCATATACCTGACCCTCCCTATTAACCACCTATTAACCATCATATACCTGACCCTACCTATTAACCATCATATATCTAACCCTGACCCTACCTATTAACCATCATATACCTGACCCTCCCTATTAACCATCATATACCTGACCCTCCCTATTAACCACCTATTAACCATCATATACCTGACCCTACCTATTAACCATCATATACCTGACCCTACCTATTAACCATCATATATCTAACCCTGACCCTACCTATTAACCATCATATACCTGACCCTACCTATTAACCATCATATATCTAACCCTGACCCTACCTATTAACCATCATATATCTAACCCTGACCCTACCTATTAACCATCATATATCTAACCCTGACCCTACATATTAACCATCATATACCTGACCCTACCTATTAACCATCATATATCCAACCCTGACCCTCCCTATTAACCATCATATACACTATATTGCCAAAAGTATTTGCTCACCCATCCAAATTATTGGAATCAGGTGTTCCAATCACTTCCATGGCCACAGGTGTATAAATTCAAGCACCTAGGCATGCAGACTGTTTTTACAAACATTTGTGAAAGAATGGGTCGCTCTCAGGAGCTCAGTGAATTCCAGCGTGGAACTGTGATAGGATGCCACCTGTGCAACAAATCCAGTCGTGAAATTTCCTCGCTCCTAAATATTCCACAGTCAACTGTCAGCTGTATTATAAGAAAATGGAAGTGTTTGGGAACGACAGCAACTCAGCCACGAAGTGGTAGGCCACGTAAACTGACGGAGCGGGGTCAGCGGATGCTGACGCGCATAGTGCGAAGAGGTCGCCAACTTTCTGCAGAGTCAATCACTACAGACCTCCAAACTTCATGTGGCCTTCAGATTAGCTCAAGAACAGTGCGCAGAGAGCTTCATGGAATGGGTTTCCATGGTCGAGCAGCTGCATCCAAGCCATACATCACCAAGTGCAATGCAAAGCGTCGGATGCGGTGGTGTAAAGCACGCCGCCACTGGACTCTAGAGCAGTGGAGACGCGTTCTCTGGAGTGACGAATCGCGCTTCTCCATCTGGCAATCTGATGGACGGGTCTGGGTTTGGCGGTTGCCAGGAGAACGGTACTTGTCTGACTGCATTGTGCCAAGTGTAAAGTTTGGTGGAGGGGGGATTATGGTGTGAGGTTGTTTTTCAGGAGCTGGGCTTGGCCCCTTAGTTCCAGTGAAAGGAACTCTGAATGCTTCAGCATACCAAGACATTTTGGACAATTCCATGCTCCCAACTTTGTGGGAACAGTTTGGAGCTGGCCCCTTCCTCTTCCAACATGACTGTGCACCAGTGCACAAAGCAAGGTCCATAAAGACATGGATGACAGAGTCTGGTGTGGATGAACTTGACTGGCCTGCACAGAGTCCTGACCTCAACCCGATAGAACACCTTTGGGATGAATTAGAGCGGAGACTGAGAGCCAGGCCTTCTCGTCCAACATCAGTGTGCGACCTCACAAATGCGCTTCTGGAAGAATGGTCAAAAATTCCCATAAACACACTCCTAAACCTTGTGGACAGCCTTCCCAGAAGAGTTGAAGCTGTTCTAGCTGCAAAGGGTGGACCGACGTCATATTGAACCCTATGGATTAGGAACGGGATGTCACTTAAGCTCATATGTGAGTCAAGGCAGGTGAGCAAATACTTTTGGCAATATAGTGTATCTAACCCTGACCCTCCCTATTAACCATCATATACCTGACCCTCCCTATTAACCATCATATACCTGACCCTCCCTATTAACCATCATATACCTGACCCTCCCTATTAACCATAATATACCTGACCCTCCCTATTAACCATCATATACCTGACCCTGACCCTCCCTATTAACCATCATATACCTGACCCTGAGCCTCCCTATTAACCATCACATACCTGACCCTGAGCCTACCTATTAACCATCATATACCTGACCCTCCCTATTAACCATCATATATCTAACCCTGACCCTCCCTATTAACCATCATATACCTGACCCTCCCTATTAACCATCATATACCTGACCCTGACCCTACCTATTAACCATCATATACCTGACCCTCCCTATTAACCATCATATACCTGACCCTGACCCTACCTATTAACCATCATATACCTGACCCTCCCTATTAACCATCATATACCTGACCCTACCTATTAACCATCATATACCTGACCCTG